GATCTGCTCAGGGAAGCGGCAGGCAGGCGGCACTGGGGAGAAGTGTGTGTGTTATACTCTAACTCTTCCAGTCGAGATGCACATATCCACTGCAGGAAGCAGCAAAAAGTCTGTGGAGCCACTTAAGATTATCCAATGTGATCGAGACAACAAATAGAAACCACAGTTACAATAGTACAACTCGTTCAGAGCAAATTTGAACCCAAGGAGACGAAGGGTGGAAAAGTAGAGATGAGCCGGGACAGGAGCGGTGGCAGAGTTGGCAGGCAAGCAACACCCTGTTTCTCATTCAGCGGCTGTCAGCTAAGGCACTTCATAACCGGCCGGCCTGCAGTCAGCCCACCCTGATGGATTGATGGAGGCACATTAGCACGAATGGAGCCCATGAATGCAATCATATTCAGCAGCGTCCTGCTTTCTAATAGGTTGGAGATTGATCCTGAGGGTGAGGAGGAGGTGATAGAGAACGCGGGCCCATTAGGAGCTGTCATGGCAGGGTGCCCTTCAGTCTCTCCTTCACACTGAAAGAGGCAACAGGGGTCACCGGATGCATGCTGGGTGGTGTCAGAGCAGAGCAGAGGAGAGGCAAGCTGGGGGCTGAAAAAAGCCAACAGGTGGTCACTGGATGCAGTGACTCATTTCATACATAAACTTTTCACAATTGGAAAATTAACATTTACAACTTTGGTTGTATTACACACTTAAATACATACATCTGTACACATATACAGATATAGTAGCATGTTGCTCAGGATTTTCAACATCAGCAACAGGAATGATGGTTAAATCTGATGAGAAGAAGGAAACATCTAACTGAGGAGGAGGTTCATCTTCTAGGAGAATGACAACAACAAACATTCAGCCAGAACTAGGGCTGCAATAACAATTATTTTGCAAATCGATTAATTGGCCTATTATTTTTCTGATGGATTGATTAATAATCCGATAGCAAAAGGTTAATTAAAGAAGACTTTTTATGAAACTAAACCAGACGAAACTTAAACATTTCCACTTGAGTTCTGGATAGAGCATATTGATGGACAAAACTTTTTTTTTTTCAATCTCAAATGCAAACTCTTTATGTATTCCTTTATATTTTGATATAATTACTGCTCCAAGTGGGTTGCTCTTTCAGCTAAAGGCATGTATGTTTACAGTTAACGATTAATCGATTATTAAATTAGTTGACGATTATTTCAATAATCGATTAACACAATTAATCTGATTAATTTTTTCAGCCCTAGCTAGAACAATAATGGAATAGTTTAAATTAAAGCTTCTCTTAGATCACCTAATCAAATTCAAGATGATATTCCAACTCAACTCAAATTCTGTTGCAAAGTCAAAAGGGCGGAGATAGGGTCAATAGATTTACAAAGCTGATACAGACATACTCACTTGTAGCTTAAACGCACTGACTTAGCAATTAAATAAATAAAATATAAACACCACATCTTTCAAATATCACATGCAGTTAGTTTTGGAAAACATTTATCCTTTTAATTTAAATAAAATCCAAAACACATGGCAGTTTGCAGCGGGACAATATTAGAAAAAGATCGAAGGGTAATAATACAGTTTCAAGACGTTCAATCAAGAATTCCATGTATGTCATGTAACTCGCTCCAGTATAAGGGAAGATTCTTGAACAAATTTCTGTGATGGGTGTAAATATTTCTATTTGATAAAATTAGCTTTCTATTCCCTACCTCTGTATATTTACTTTTTACTTTATATTGGTCTATCAAATAATGCAGCAACAAAATACACTGAGGTTTGTTGTTGCAATGCATAAATGTACTGTGCGGAGAACAACTTAATATGTAGAAATATTGTTGTTAGATATACCAATAAACCATATAGCATCCATAAGCAGCAAGTTCTCCTGCCTCTCCCATTTTTACGAGTGGCTCAGAGATTTCGTATTAGATCCTTTTTCATTTAGTCCAAAGAAAAGCAGGAAATCTTTGTCTCCCATCGTTTCATTACGTACATTTGCAGCCCCCTTATCCGCTTCTTAAGTCGCAATAAACAAGGTCACTATGGTTTTTTTTATATTAGCATTACCGTAGATACAAAACTTTCTTTTGCATAATCATTCATATTTGGAATAAAGTAACCATTATGAAATCCATGAAGTTATACAAAACAATTTAAGGTGAATAATATTGAATTTACTGCAGTTAGATTGTGGGGGGGAAAAAATCCGCCTTTTTTTGGAATAAAATCGTAGCACATCCGACTGAAACAAGTGTTGAATGTTAGTCAGTGGCCTTGAGCTGACAAGAGAGCAAATGCCAAAACCCAGTAACTCAGCAGCCACCTAACCAGTCGGCTCAGTGGCTCAGGCCCTTCAGCACTTCCCAGGGGAACACTCAGCTTTCAATTACCTCCAGTAGCAGTACTTATCAGGCAGCTACGCTTTCCCCTGAGACACGGGGCTTGATGCCCATGCTCAGCAGCCCACGGCTGGGGCATTCATCATGGGGTGGAGTAGCAGCTGGGGCCTAAATACGAGGCACGCGCCAGGCCCCTCAGGGACAAACCGGGGCAGCGTCAGTCCACCACATTTTGAGTGCTGGCGAAATAAGGCAATGTGCTACCTCACCCCAACACATACAACTGACAGCAAAATGGATGCAAAAACCTGCAATAGAACAGGGTAATTTCATCTCTGCAGCAGGGTAGATGAGTTTGGCCTGCATTATTGCGCTCTGCCCATTAACCAGCCTCTTCTTTAATGATCCACATGTAGGGGTGGGGGGTGGGGTTAGGACGGGCAGTAAATCCTGTCCTCTACCCTCCCTCTGCCATGCCTCGGCACAGCGTGTTTACGGGCAGTGAAGAGTGCACAAACATGATGAAAAAGTAGCTGAGATTTACAGGGCCTCCCCTGACAGGCAGGAAAAGGAGAAAATTAAACCAGAGAGCATTAAACAGGCACCGATTACAGGGCTGCTCTGACACCAATAATAACCGTCATTGTGTCCCATCGTCCTGAGGTACATGACATGATTGCAGCGCCTTCAGTCCTGCGCCCATGACAGCTAACATCTTTATAACAGAAAGATTACAAGCAGCTTCTGGTTGAGGGAAGTCAAAGAGATTAAATAATTTTTCAACTAAATGAATTTACAAAATAGGGTCTGTGCAGCTATGACATATGCAACATAAATGATAGAGTTACCCCATCCTTTACTATTGCTCCAGACCTTTTAAATTTAAAGCATTTGAGATTGCAGTCAAATACAGATTTCCTTCCAATGCAGTTTTAACACCTTTAAATAACACCTTAGAACTGATTAGTATCATAAGTACTTAAATTTAACAAAGGTCTGAAGCCTTTATTTATAGTTTTCTTTAAACTTTAATCACTGCTCATGGATGATCACTCTCACTGCAACAAGTCACCTGACATGGAGGTGAAACATCTCTATGTATCTGCATTGGATTTCTCTGGATCGTTTAAACATTTTGTTACATCAGAACAACAAACTTTAACATGATTCAATGTATTTTTGATAAGTTAACCAGACTAATGAATATTGTGAAAATAAAAGGAAGCGCAAGTATTTTATAACCCCCATCCCCCGAAATATCAGAAAAGTGTTGTTATTTAAACTATTTAGATTAATATTTTGTAAAACCACAACAATTCCTTCTGTCTCTTGGTAAAAGTTGAACCCAACTTAGCACAAGTAAATATGTATGGCCATTCTTCTTTCAAATAGCTTTACCTACCGGTAATAAGACAGACTGGTTAAAATGCATTTAGAACAGAGAATTTCACGTCTTTTTTTAATCGAATTAAGCTCAGGACCTTAGCTAGGCCTTTCTAAAACAATGTGATATAATCTAAACTGTTGCAATGTAGATCTGGATGCATGTTTTTCTCGCTGCAATCGTCTTACAGGAAGTTGAATCTTTGGCCCAGTCTGAAATATTTTGCAGCTTCAAACAGATTTTATTCGAGGACTGGAAACCATTTAGATTTTTTTCTGACCAGTTTTCTTGTCCCAGTTTAAAAAACAAACCATGGTGCTTACACCACCATGTTTCATAGAGAAGGGCATGCAGTTTGCCATCTTTTTTTTTTTTTGGGGGGGGGGGGGTTATTTGGTCTTAAGAGAATCAATTTAAAGCATTTAAAGCAAGGTACTTTCACAGCATTACTATGCCTTCATTTTATTATTTCACCCCTGAAAAAAGCACCCAGGAATTTCAGATTTTTATTTGTAAAATCATTTATTCTTTCCGCTTCTTTGCACTATTACTTAAATTCCAAATGAAATTCCTTAAGTTTGTAGTTATAATGTAACAGAATGTGAAAACATATCAGAGGTGTTATTATCTCTCAGGCTACATTTCATCAAAGTAAAGGGCAAAGCAATACAATTATCACCAAGTGCTTTTTTTTTTACAGCCAAAATTTATACCGATTTTCCCTCTTAGGATCATCAGATGAGCACTTAGCCACATCTCTCTAATCCACACTCCATAAGGATTAGGGCAATAGAGGTGGGAGGGATTGGATTAAATAAATAGATTTTGTATTTATCAGATTCTTGGACATCTTTTCCTCCTTCAGTCCTTTTTGGCTCTTTACTTTTTTGCTTTCAGGAACAGTGACTTATATCCACTGTTTTAAAGCCTTGTGGTCCAATTGTTTCAGTCTTTTGACACAAACGCAGATTCTAATTTGCCAGGTTACAGTTGGAACAATAACTGTTCTGAATTAAAATAAGTATGTATAGGGTGAGCTGAACCTGCTTTAAATGTAAAAAAAAAAAGGTAGAGGAATATGAAAGAGGTCGATGCAGAGTGCAAAAAGTTTTAGCTCCATCTAGTGGTGATATTGCACAAAAGAGAGTCAGTCAAAACCATTTAAACTGTTTACATCAACTAAATATAAAGCAGCTACACCCTAAAAACTTAATACATTTTCAAAGATAAAATTAAAAACATATTTTCTTATGTTTTGGAGTTCTTCTTGTACTTACACTCCTCCAAACCCAGCTGATAAGCAAGATTCTGAAGTCCTTTGACCTTCTCCATCAGGTTGGCTGTGGTCAGACTGCCCAGCTCTGCAGACGGATGGCAGGGCACCAAATAAAAGCTCATAGTGAAAATCAACTAAATCAGATCCTGTTTGATGGTTTTAGAGATTTATGTTACCTTTCAACATTTCAATGTCCTCACTCTCCAGTTCTGCCATCCACTTTGGGGGCGAGTTTGTGATTGGCTGTAATAAAAAGATGAAACGGAACAGTAAACATTACAGGCTCCAGCATGTTTTACACAATGTTACATTTAAATCTACTTTAAAAGCTGCAAAGTAACCTACATTTTTATAAGATGCTGCAAATTCTGCGACTCCAGGCACTGTTTTAAAAGATATGAGACGGTTAAGAGGGATGCAATACTTCTGAGAAATAAAGGAAAAACAGAAGAAGAACGTACACTGCTCTGGCCACAAGTCTGGCGATGCTCTGTCCAAGTTCTCAAAACTCAGCAAAGATGATTCGAAATCATCTCCTGAGAAAATAGAAATACAATTTCTTCATTAAGTGTGATAATGTGTCTTGCAAAAATGCTCACGTCTCTAAAATTGGACCATTTTGCCATTCAACAAAAAAGTTTTACTGTCTTCAAATGCAAGTTGGATATTTATCTTGTTCTAAAAACCTGAAATCGGATACAGACTTGATTAATACTTTAAATATAACACCCAGGGCTGGGTGATATGGCTTAAAAATCTAATCTCAAGTTAAGAAGAGAAAAAATGGCTGATTAAAAGTATTTTAACGTGATAAAGTGAGGAAAAAGTTTGATGTATTGTTGCCAGGAACTGCAATTACTAAAAGCAACATAGGGAAGCAGGGACGTCTCAATCCGATACTGATATTGAAAATTTGTCTGATATCTACCAAAATAAAAACCTACAAACATCAGAATACAATGCAAGGAGGCTGATGGAAAGGCTTCACTTGTATTTGCTTTGTTTTCAGTTTTTTTAACCTATTGGTTAATTAAACATGGATCAGTCATTCTCATATATAATATTGTTTACTGTTGTTCTCTGTTCCAGTAAAATGATTTGATCAAATCTTTTCCAACGTTTTGCACTAAAAATTAAGTTATAAAATTACGTATGATTCCTGCTTATATATCGGGTTTAACTCAGTATCGGTAAATACTCAAAGCTGCAATATTGGTAAAGGAAAGCAGTTTCAAGCACTTTAAAATTGTTTTAATTTTCCATCTGTGTTGGAAATGAATCCTCCAAAACACAAAATACATTTTCTCCTCTAGTCAGCATGAGGTGCTACTAACTAATTTCACTTGGTAAAGACAGTTTAAGCTTCATTATAGCACAAATTGCCCAAATCCATACGCCATTATACAGTAGCTGTAAGTCAGAAAAACGTTAAGCGGCCGTCTGGAACACGTCAAATATGTTGTGCCAGCGTGTTTCAGCGTACTTAACACTTACTTAACTAGGGATGCACGATATAATCGGCCCCCTATCAGTATCGGCCTGTATCGGCCTTAAAACTGAATATCGGACATCGGCCACCCCACCGATATTTAACCCGATATTTGATCAGCTTCTGAAAAAAAAAAAAAAACACTACTTCTTCTTCTTCCTCAAAAACTTATTTTTTACAGACTTAAAAACTTCTAAAGACGAGGGAAAAAATATTGATACATTAAAATATCACAATATCTTCATATGCTGATATATTGCCATTTAAAAACACCATATCAATCTCTTTTACTAATGAAATATTGCTATATGTCATCGTTATGCTACGAAATCCCCTGAAAATTCACGAAATTTTGCCATATTTTGTTGATATATTGACGCGGTATGCAGCCCGCTGTCGCCATCCGACAAAGGCGACTAATAACAAAGATGGAGCAGGCGCCATGCAGTGGAGTTACGTAACTAAAGGAGCAAAAAGCAGTGATCATCTGTCTGAATGGTCAGTTAACTAAGTTCACTATAAAGTTCACTATATAGTCCCCGCTCTATATAGTGATTGAGGGATTTAGGGGTTAAGGCAGATGTTCAGACACAGTAAGCTTGTATGAGCTATAAGAACAGCAAATTTAAACAAAGTGTGCATGAGGAGAAATGGCCTTGTGCATGCTCATTTTTGAGCAAGTGGAGAGGGCAGGTCACAATTTTATATTATCATAATTGTCTATCTTTTGTGTTGTCTCCTTTCTGAATTGAGCGAACAAAGACACATGGGTTCCAGCAACTTGCACTCTCTCTGCTTATCATCCTGTAGATTTAATAGTTCTCAATTAAACTGTTTTTCTTCTAAAGGTTGGACCACTAGCAGAATTAATGCTGCCATTAATTTGCATGAGCATAGAGTTTCCTTCCAAAATAAACTGATCTAAAGCCAGCTGTTTTTTTTTTTTTTTTTTTAGCTTTTTTGTCAGCTTCCATCTGGACGCCAATTATGTGTTAGTAGATGGAAACTTACCAAGTCTTTTTCTGATGGAAATCTTTTCCAGTTAAAAGGCAATGACTTGAGGGGGGATCCTTAATTGATATTATCACCTATTAGCCTGTTTAGTATTACTATCATGGCCAACAATATAAGATTGCTTTAAATCTACATGGAAAATATTGGTATAAGTATAACTAGTAAGTAAATAAGAAGACCTGATGATTCATTGCAGTGCTTGAGATGACATTGATTGTAAATAGGCTTCAAAATAAACTGAATTGCAGCTTTCAAAGCTAAATTTAGAGGATTTCTTGTCCACTCATAGATGTATGGAAAAAAACATCAAACAACAGACTGCAAGTATTATTTGTTTTACTGAATTACAATTGTGTACTGCATAGGACGCTTAAATATTAATACAAGCCGTTAAGGTTTGACAAATAAAACGCATCGATAGATGGTTGTAACAGATGTTTTTTCTTCTGCAGCTACAGACCAGCTGTGTTTGTTTGCTTCCTCAGAACTGGACACTAACGCTTCTGGTTTCAGTGAAGCCTTCGGACAACCGAACACCTCTAAACAGTAAGAATACCTCATTAATACTGCTGGGTTTTCGTCTTTAACCGTCGAACTGAAGCACGTTTAACTTGGTTAACATTTTCGTGAGCCCATAAGATAAAGTAAAAGATAAAATTAAGATATATTCGGAGCGTATCTGTGTAAGGAATTAGAATTTACCTCCATTCGGAGACGCCATCTTCACAATAACCACGTGACGAACCACAGCCAATCAGCGGCTCTGGTTTCAAACTACTTCGCAAATACACCACAAGAGGTCGCACTAGAGCTCTGGAGGTACATTGACTCATTCCTCTTTTTAAAATAATGTAAAAAGCCCACATTATTTAATCGCAGTTTACCCAAAACTTGTTGATCTTTATTATGAAACTAAAAGCTTTATAAGACTATAAATATTAGACTTTTTTTTTTTTTTTTTTTACATCTTGTCATTTTAAAACCAAATAATGTCCTTTTCTTTTTTTAATTGCACTTCATGCAAAATACCAGTGATGCTCAAATCTAGAGCAGTAACTTTTGGATATGTTCCTGCTTCAAAATACCTAAAGAAAATGGCCAAATGACCTCATAAATATGTTATTTATTCACAGGCGTAACTTTCTGAAGGACTGGTGTGGACATGTCCCAACCAATAATTTCGATACATAGATTTTTGCAATATATGGGACAAATTTCTGCATTTTATTTTGCTGCTTTTGAATGAGGAAAATCACTAATGCAGCTGAAAGGAAAAGTATCCATCAATCAATTCACATTTTTCTGGATGGATGAATGAAACTGAAATTGTGTTCTAGGGAGGCATGATATATATTGCTGTTTGCATCGGAATCGGCTGTTATTCTTCCTTTTTTATATACATTAATGTCTGTCTATAAATATAAATGTCAGCGTATTTTGGTTTTTTTGTGTTTTCGAAAATAGGAAAGCAATTAATTCAATAAATATATGTTTGAGCTCATTTTTGGAAAATACAAACCCTATTGAAAGCGTTTGTGTGGATTAACTGTATGTCCATAAGCCACCACCCTAAAAGTGTCCCTACCAACATTCATCACAAAGTTACACCTTTGTATTAATCTCTGGAGAAGCATAGTAAGTAGCCAATAATTAGACTGAGGTGTGCTAAAGAAAGGATGCATCTAAAAGTTGCAGGGTCGCTCACAAGCTTGGAATTGGACACCCCTAATACAATATGGTCCATTGTACCTTATAAAAAAAATGATTCATGGTTTTCAAATAAGAAATCTCTGAAAACTTTGTTGAGGGTCAATATTTTTTCCCCAAATAGAGGACAATCTGTGTTGGTTAGATGAGTCTCTGCTTCAGGACTCATTCAAATGTTTTGCAGAGCTACTGAAGCCTTTTAATCACCCAGTTATTTAGGTTGACTTGGGATTTTCCTAGAGAACTTACTGTCATGTTTTGTGATAACTGTAAAAATGCTTTGTAAGACGCTTTGGATAAAAGCCTCTGCTAAAGGTATAAACATAAACATAGAGGCATCGCTGCATAAAAAAATCACTTAAAATATATTTATATATTTAGAATGATGAGTCCAACTCATTGTATTATGAGCTTTTCCAACAAGAAAAAAAAGAACAATTCAAATCTATCTATATGACATTCATGCCCATGATGAATTATCTAAACTTTTGAACTGCACTGTACAACATTAGTTCCAAGATCTTAAAGAAATGACTAAAACTCCCAGGAGTCCATCCACTTAAGGCCAGCCATAGCGCTGCCTGGCTGGTGTGCAAGAGGACCAGTCATGCCGTAGGACAGCTGATGAAACAGGTGGAAACTGAGAACAGAAGAATTATGGAGAGTCAAGTGTAGAAGAATCCATATTGATGTTACAAAGCACAGACTAAACAGTCAATATAACACAAAAAAAGCTGATATCTTCTAAAAATTTGTTTTAGTTTGATAAAGAAGGTAGCTTCAATAGGTGAATTACTCAGAACTGATTAAATAAATCAACTTTTAACAATTTGTTTAACTGTTAAAAAGGTTAGCCATTCAAGGTGCATCAAATGGAACATGGTATAATACTTAAAAAAAACACAAACAATCTCCTAAAAGTAGACTTCACATGAAAGATTAACCAATGCTATATAATGAATATGTTCTTTTAACAAGCTCACCTGTAGAGAACAGTAAATAAAAGTCCCATCTGCCCTCCTTTCTGCAGCCAATCAGAATAAGGCTGGCATAGCAGTAGATCAGCACTTCTCAGCAAAATATCTAATGTAACTCCTGTAAGACAAAATTTAAAAAAGAAACTTAAAAAAAAACAGATAACAACCATCCAGGCAGGCATATCAAAACATTCATTGCTTCCTTCACTTAAACATTTACAAATATTCCTTTCCTAAATCCTAACAATGCTTTACAAACATGAAGGATCAATAAAAACCTTTTCAAAGTCAATCCTATTAGAATAGTTAGATCTGACCCAATAGTGCCTCTTTAGTTAGTTTATAATAAATATTTGCCTTATCAATCTAGATTATGTAAAACAGTTGCAACAAGCAATTATGATGATTATATAAAATATGCAGAGATGGCAAAAGTACTCACTTTCCGTACTTGAGTAAAAGTACAGATACTTGTGTTAAAAAATACTCTGGTAAAAGTGGAAGTACTGATTAAACGTCTTTACTCAAGTAAAAGTAACAAAGTACAGGCTTGTAAATTTACTTAAAGTATAAAAGTAAAAGTAGAAACCACTTTTTTCATGCCGTTGCCTACATTTTAAATGGATGTCTGCCAATAGGACTAGATCTCCGTTGTGTTCATTTTCAATCATCTCGTCGTCCATACTACTATGCTAACGCCACCGCCACCAAGCTGCAATGATTTGCCGCGAATGAATACCGCCGAATCTGTCGATTCATCTGTAGTGGTGCGTCAAATGCAACGTAGATTCTCATCCAATTAGATTGAATTTGGTATTGATGACGTGAAAAATAATAACGGTAACTCCATTGAAATGATTCAAAACTAAAGTAACGAGCCAATTTTTTTAAATGAAAGGAGTAGAAAGTACAGATATTTGTGTAAAAATGTAAGGAGTAGAAGTAAAAAGTCGCCATAAAAATAAGTAGTAAAGTAAAGTAAAAAATATCAGAAAAATCTACTTGAGTACAGTAATGAAGTATTTGTACTTCGTTACTTCCCATCTCTGAAAATATGGGAATATGAGCTTTCCCTTTGTGTGAGTTCCTTTTAAAAGGTATGAGTAAAAATAAATTTAACAGGCTTAGTGCTGATCTAAAGTTTACTTATATTCATCATAGACATGAAAGTCTTTAATTTGAGACATGCAATGATTTCTTTGAAAGATGGAAAATCCAGATGAAGACACACCAAAGAACTCCCAACTCATCACATATGGATGCTTGGTTAAGGTATCCCTCGCGTCAGTATTTGACGCACAGGTTAAACGTCAGGTTGCGGACAGTGTATCACGTGACCCGCAACATCAAAAAATCAATAAATAATTGAAGTTCAGCCTACAAAGTTACTTTGGTTGTTTTAGAAGTGTATGGTAACATGTTAATGGGGGTGTTTGTATATATTTGGGCTTTGATGATCTCTTAGTCTGTGTGTATTATAGAAATCCACAATAAATCAAAGATTACAGAAGTCTGATTTATCATAATATCACCAATCAAAATAAAAAAAAGGTTAATAAATCACTAAAAGTCCTAAAGCAATGGGATTATTATTTTTTTATTATAAATGCATGCAAACCTCTGTCAAGCACTTCATCAAAAAGTCCTCACTGAGAAATCCAGAAGCATAAAAGCCCTTTCTCATCCTAAGTAGCTTTTTATGCTACTCTTTTTTGTGCAGTCAGTTTCATTAAGTCTCTTCTCCTCCTGTTCTTACTTAGATTGTAAAAGGCCTTAAAATGCTTGAGAATTAAGCACCTGTTAGCATAGTACTGAAGAGCATCGCAGGAAAGTAGTGATGATAGTAGAGGACACGGCCCATGACGTAGAATGGGATGTAGTGCAGCAGCCAGCCAAGAAACAGAAGTCCCCCTCCTCCCCTGAGCACATCCGAATGCTCTGAAACATGTAAACATTTCTATTTAAAGGTCAACTCATCCTCATATCTCTGCAAAGACTCAAAGCTGCAGTTTACCCATTCTCTTCTGCTGCAGGGGGATTCCTCTTTGAATGGCTACAGATGCCACTGCCACCATGATGAGATACAAGCCTAAAGTGGCCAGGTTTACCCACCAGACAACCTGAAAAATAATCCTCCGTGTTAGCACCAAGAACAAAAAGAGGGTTTTTTTTTTGTTTTTTTATAGTACTTACAGGGTTTCCAAGCAGGTAAATGCGATTTTCTGTCTCATTAACACCTGAAAACCGCAATCCCTTCACCAGACAAAAAGAAAAACATTTGACACAGATAGAAACGCAGACTGAAATTTGTGAAAAAAAAAAGTAGAAATAAGAGCTGGCACCTGGTAGTTGATAGGCCAGTGCCAAGGTTTGGAGTTCATTTCATTGTCTTTAGGTTTCAAGCCGCTATTACCCTGGAGTGAGAACATTTTCATTTAAAAGGAGCAGGTTTTTAATCCCTTAATTATCTTTCAACCATTACTTACCCTTATCATGACTATATGAGATTCCAGCAAGATTTCCAGGAAATTAGGCTTTAGTAGAGAAATACTAATGTTTGGCACTGCAAAAACAAACCAAATGATATTATGAGATTAGTAAAACATTGCATGTTTTCAAGACAAATCAACTTGGATGACAGGATTGCATCGTACATCTGGGATTGATGTGATCCTCAATGTTCCACTGGGAGCTGGGAGTCTCCTTCAGGTAAGGACTGCAGGTCACCTCCACCTGCTCCCAGCCCCTTGAAAGAAACAACTACATCAGCATATCAATCCTTTAGGCGCAGGTTTAAAAAAGGGACCAACCAGAGCTGAGGCGACAAGTAGATTTACCACTTCGGAAGAGTTTTGCCAGAGGAGTAAAGCACACATCCTGTGGCCTTGTGGAGAAAGCGAACTTTGCTGCGCAGAACTTTCACCAAGTCACCCTTCCGACCTCCGCAAACCTCCACCTTCCACAGATCGTTGGCGTCCCCCATTCCATTCTAGAGAAAAACAAACACTGTTATTTTATTTTCTCTCTTTTCTTGCACTCCCCCCCCCCCCCCGTTCTTATCCCTTTCTTTCTCTCTTTCTTTCTTTCTTTCTTTCTTTCTTTCTTTCTTTCTTTCTTTCTTTCTTTCTTTCTTTCTTTCTTTCTTTCTTCCTTCCTTCCTTTTCCATCTCCGTTGTACACTCTTTACTTCCTAAATAATTTTCAATAAAGAGGAACTTCATAGCAAGAGTCATAATGGCCTGCTTATGGAAGCAAAGCATCTAATTCCCAGATAAATATTGGCAAAAAAAAAAAAAAAAAATACAGATACAGATAAAAGATACGTTAAGGTCCAAAATCACTATCTTTACTCCCCAACATAAGCCCATTTTGCAGCATTACAGCAGCAAATATCAATGGATTTAGTTTGACTTACACAGGAGAGACTAGTACAAACAATTTTATGGATATAAATCAGACCTGTCAGATTTGTTTTTTTTTAGGCCTCGGATCTTGGAACCTTCCAGAAAATTCTGCTCCCAGTTTTGCTCACTTTATTTGAAACTGTTTTAAAATAAAGCAAGAACTATTTTATCCCCCCTGCTCCGTTGTTCACACTTGGTTTTCTTCAGAGATATCAAAGGAAAGGGACATTAGAAGTATCATCTGTGAAATCCTTAGATAACCTAAGCATCATTTTCTTTTATAATATCCACATCATTGGTTTGCTGCATAAATCCACAATAAATAAATTACGATGAAGTGTACCGATAAATGTCACCAAATGTGAACATTTCTACAAGACAAATGTTAGAGAGGGACTCACTACTCCATAGCCTGTAACCTGGAAGTGCTTCTTGGTCAGCGGTGCTTGATGAAGGTGACTGTGGAGGTTACGGGTTGTTCTGAAAGAAACGATGTGATTAAAATCAAACAGGAATTAAACTTCAGGCAGCAGAGCCAGGTGTGGTACTCACTCTTTGTGTTCTAGGCGAATAAGGTCTCCATGACGAACCAAGTCAGGCGTCCCAGAGGGAGCTAATACAGAGATGACAGAAAAATCTAAATAGCTAAAACTAATTATTTAAAAAGGCTCTCCTGCCACCTATTTCTACTATCACAAAAAAGCAGAAATTAACCTTAATTAGAATTTTGGCACAACTAATAAACGGTACAATTTCAGACCGTCAATAAAAACAACTCTCTTACTCTCATTTCCTGGTTTTCGAACCAACCACATGTTGTTGTAATCCTTGTGGAGGTAAGCGGTCACCTGTGGACGAAGAAAACTGAATAAAAAAGTCAATTTAATAATTTAAAACCGAATGCTGCGGTTATAGCCTGACCTGCTGCTGCTTCGCTCCAATGCCCTCTGGGTATAAATGCCAGTGGGAGTGCAGGTAACCTCCTGCAATGCGCAGATTTTTCACAGTAATGACGGAGCCATAGGCTAGGTCTGCATCAGAAAGACAACATGTTCATCAAATAAGGAAATGCACATGAAGAATGAATGAAAGGACAACTGAATTGATTTACTCATCCACTTTAAAACAGAAAATTGCAAATTGCAAACTGAAAGTAGGAAATAAAAATTGAAGCACTGTTCCTAATGTTTTATCTATTTTCCTTCACTCAAAAAATACACTCAAAATAAAGATTGGATGCATGAACATTTTCTATGGGAGATTATGACAGTTTATATGCCTGCAATAAGACTATTATTACTATTTTTGTCCCCTTCTGTTAAAGACAGAAAAACAGAATGCTCTTTCAAAAAACTTCACATTGATAAAATATTACAAATACATACACACATTTACATAAATGTGCACGCACCCACATTATAACCAGTCTCTCTGGATAATGCAGCCAGAGGAAACTTGAAGACAAATTAAAGGAACTGTTCTTACAAAATCGCAAACCCAAATACAGAAGTTTAAAACGCTGAAATCGAATAGGTGATGTTTCAGATCAAATGTAAAAAAAATGTCATTTATATATAAATCTACATGATTATTAAGCATTGTAATACTTTTCTATTTAATATTTATTTTGAAAAACTTGCTCAGATTTAATTTGCTTGACTGTTTTATTTGTAAACGGAGGAACCAATGGAAGTTTTCTAACATTAGTGAATGTAGATTTCTGTGCTTCTGTGCATCCTTTTGTGTGTCTCCTGGTTCTCCAACCTCTAAAAGGAGGCTGAATGCTCAGTAAGAGGGATGTAATCAGCCTGGTTTTCATAGATGAAAACGTTTATCCAATATGTCTGGATGAATAATCGACTGTAGCAGTAAAATGCATCGAGTAGCGATGGGTCCAGCACCACCGATGCTTCAAGGTCATAGAGTGTCGAGTATGTGTCGTTGCGCGTATCGTTTAAAGAATGTCACATGAGCTGTTTTGATCTGTATATAGGCATATCTGTCAATGGGATACATCTGCAAAATGATCTCAAATTGATTCTAAGTAACTTTTCTTACTGTAATTATTGGTTTGAATAAATATTCATAAATCCTAGTCCACAAGCATCCTTATTTACATGTTCACTTAAAATTGCATATTATGATATACGTTCAAATTATTTGACTGCATCTATAAATATCAAAAGAAATTTTCAAACAAAAAAAATTGAACATTTTATGACATATCATACCAATATTATAGGTACTCAAATCAGTGTTAGTGGTCTGTCAGATAGGCTGCCTGTAGGGATTTTAAAGGTGTCGGTATTCAGCATCAACTCAGCATCACTATAGTTTGGTAATGAGTCAAAACGCTTCATGACTCCTCATCAAACCATTTCTACCATGGAGATTACATGTTTTGAATCAAGGCTATAAATAAAATGAATTGAATTAAAAGATTTTTTTTTTCACACACCTATCCAGACCTGGAAAATTATCACAGAAAATTCAACAACTTTTAAGACGGTAGGAATCCTGTTTGAGTATTACCCCTTTTCCACAGGCTTCGCTAGACCCTTATTCATTTCCAGACATTTTCAATGTTGCTTATACCAGTACCGTAAGTACCAGTAGTATTTTTTTTAAGCCTTACTCCTTTCTGATTCTACCTAATCCTGAACAGGCCAGAAAAAGCACTAATGTCTGATAATTGGTGGGGTGGAGTAAAACTAGGCTGACTGAAAAAAGGGACTATGTTTTATTTTTAAAGGAGAATTCCGGTTTTTAACACTTTTAGCCCATTTTCTGTAGTGTCCAGGATGAAATCGAATGATCGACACCAAAATTTTGACAATTGGTCCTGTCTCTGATATTTGGCTCATGCAGAATCCCCCCCTGGCTGCTTCAGAATGGCTTCCATAGTGCATGTCCGATAATGTCCTTAAAACAACCTTAAACGTTCTTTTTTTAAAATATGCTACTCACCGGGTCGTCAGCGCTGTTCAATGACGTTCCCAACAAAGTTTCGTGAAGAAAAACCGTTCCTGTAGTGTTTTATTTAGCATTTTGTAAATCCCATTGAGTTCTGGGATTTAAAAAAAAGCATATTTTAGCATATTTTAAAAAAAGAACGTTTAAGGTTGTTTTAAGGACATTATCGGACATGCACTATGAAAGCCATTCTGAAGCAGCCAGGGGGGGATTCTGCATGAGCCAAATATCAGAGACAGGACCAATTGTCAAAATTTTGGTGTTGATCATTCGATTTCATCCTGGACACTACAGAAAATGGGCTAAAAGTGTTAAAAACCGGAATTCTCCTTTAATTCCTTTAGAAGAAGGCAATCCGCCAAGTTGCCCTACTTTGTTTTCACAGAACATCAAAGTTGCTTTCTTTCACACATAAATAAGATTTTTGTTTAATTCTGAGCTGCGTTCAGGACTCACACTCTGGCATGGACGCGTTGTACAGATTGTTCCCAATGAGACGTGACTGAAAGGCAGAACTAAAGAAACCATCACCTGGTCCGCTGGCAAGAGAAAAAAAAAAAAAAAAGGCTGTGGGAGGTTGTTTTTTTATAACGGTTTTCACATCAACTTTAACTCTCACTCTTACCTTTTATTCAATAAGACAAAGTGAACTGCAAATATTGTCCCGTAGAGCAACAGTGGAAGCAGGATGAGCCCAACAACACGGGCCAAGAAGTGCTTTGCAACATCCATCTGTAAAGCAAACAAGAATATTAAGCAGGAAAATCCCCAGTTAATTTCATTAATGCACAGTCTGCCGTATCTATAAAAAAAAAAAAAACTGTGGTTCACCAGTGAGAGACTCAGGTCGCCTAAAACTCCCCAGAGGTCTCCGACTGTGTTTAGACCCACCAGGAGGATGACAAACAGACCCACAAACTTCACCCCAAGAGCACCAGCAAGAGCAGCACCACACAGCATGAGCCACAGCCACCAGGAAGCAGTAAAAGGCCTGAAAACATGTCAATTGAAATAAGAATGAACAGAGTTAAAAAGCTCAACAGCTTTAATTCATAGATAATGACACATAAAGCTTGTTTTCTCCTTCCCATTTCACAGGGGATACCTGCAGCTCTGCTGGTTGAACTTGACCATACTGAGAACTGCTGCCATGATGAAGAACATGAGGATGGGGTCTAACAGGATGTACTGAGAGATGGTGATGCAGCCCGTATCTGTCAAGCAGATGAATATCTTCAGCATATTGAAATAAACAAGTCATTCATTCTGCTAAATAAAACAAAAATGTCCTGAAATTTTTATTTGATCACTTTTTGTATTTTTATTTTCCCCAAGAAACACAAAAACATTCTAAAAGTATATGTAGTTGGTTTGAATCAATGCATGGTGTTATAAAACTTCATTACAAACCAAATAGGAGCAAGGTGGCTGCGATGACGGCAGCATTTTGAGAGCGGGACAGTTCCTGCACAATAAGGAAGGCAAAGACCGGCAAAAAGGATCCCAAAACAGCACAGAACTGGAAGAAAACAGGCAGATGTTTAAACACACAAACATATGACATATATTTGATTTTTTTTTCAAATCTGTGACACACTACTGCTTAATTGAAATGCTGCATACTCCTCTCATCCTCCAGTAATTGTGGTGTTCATATTTGTCTCCTGGCTTCACAAAAGGAAAGGTGCCATCATAGCCAGTCATATAACCAGCAAGAGCAATCAGCATCTGCAACAGAACAACACATCATCTGACGCAGAAGGTCCACAAAAAGGTTGAATCTCTCTTCTTTGCACTAAACTACAAATTGGTCAAAGATATCAAAGACCTGCACAAGAAGTGGACACATCACCCCCCCATCAATTAAATGATTGTTGTTCTTGTGAGTTTTAAACCAGAAAAATATAAAGGAAAAGATTCTGCACTTTATTTTACTCTTGCAAAATTTCTTCTCTTACATCTAAAGTTTGCTGTGCATTTCTATTGTGATAACCTCTAAAAAAAAATCATGCAACAATTGCTCTAAATTAGTAAATAAATTCCCACCTGTGTGTAATTTAATTTTAGTAGATGAAAGATAATAAAGCAATATCTCATTCTATTAATTGTTCCCCATAAAGATCGGGCCTTCAACAGACGGAAAATCATGCAAAGTCCAGTTATTACCAGCAATGTAGAGAAAACAGTAATGATAAAAAATGTCCGATTATATTGAGATGAAAATAAATTATTTTTAACCACCTGGGGAAAAAAACAATGCATGGCTAAAAAACTAATACTGGATTACATTAAAGCATTGGCATGCAGTTGCTCTCCATCCAGTGGGCAAAGATATCACTCTCTAGATGTGCAAAGCTAGTAAACACATGCTTCACAAGGCTTGAAGCTGTAATTACAATAAAATGTTGCTTTTTAAAAGCAGGATTTTACAGTGGCAGTTGTAGTTGGAATTTAAAAGGTTTTTTTTTCATGGGGCAGAGGACAAAATAATAACAAACACACAGGGTAAATAAAATGTGAAAGAGTGCATTATTTGGTGCATTAATTGAGCCACAGAGCCAAGGCTGCAAACTTCTGATGTAACAGATAAAAATTCTGATCCTATTTCCTGTGACTGAAGCTGAATACAATTTCTAAATAAAGGTTAGAGTAAATTCTAAAGGCAAATTATTAAAATTGGTCCAAGGGACGAATCGGTTATGGCCGCTTTTATCAGCACAAATCATCATCATAATAATTTTATTTAGAGTTATACCCTTTACCCACTGGCCAAACAAACCTGTTTAAACCCGAGATCAATTGGCTTTTAGTGGCCATAGAAACGGCTCAATGACACCAATTAAAATCTACTTTGAATGGCTCGGCTCTGATCAGCATACAGTGGGAACGCAAGACTCTGGTTGAGCCGCTAAATTATGTGATACCATTGAGGGCAACATGTAGGCGTCAACACGTCGCACCAGTGGCGTCTGAAATAACACAAAACAACGCTGCGCCATTTGCTAAACATGGAGCAGCACTGCTGAGAGAGATAAGGATGGACGAAACAACCAAACAATAAAGCACCCTTACTACGCCTTGGCTTCCTTAGATATTGCTCTCTATTGTTTTCTGTTGCACTGGTGACATCATCACACTAACCCAGTGTGATGGTGTCCCCAGACACGCAGCAGTAAGGGGGCAAAGGCCACACAGCTTATCAGCAGTGGGTCAGACCAGGCTTTTTTGTTCATGGATAGAGAGCCAAATATCGACTGTTAGCGGGTCGACCCAGGTTTGAAAACCAGTGTTAATGCGCTAATTTCAGTGGGAAAGACGCTATACAATGCAAAACCTGATAAAGTAAACATTTCTTAAAAAAAGTCTAATTGCCCTCAAGTTGAACAGGCAACTATAGGATAATCTGCCAAAAGGTTAAGTACTATTGCTCATAAAATAAGATAAATATATATTTAAAATAAGTTAATGGGGTTTAGGGATCTTTTTTTATTATTTTAAATGTAAGCCATCTTGTTCGATTTGCAAATTGACTTAATTGCCTGCACAAATTTTAAGAAAAACTTACCTAATTATATTTCAGCATATGTTTTCAGTAGAGGGGGTCCTACAGGGGTCCTGGCTCCTGTCGGCCCCCATGTAGAACCGTCCCTGACAGTCCACTTGCAGATTATTTATTGTGAAAAACAATAAAAACAATCCCCCTCAAAACAATCTCCCTTTTAACTCCCATCCATCCATTATCTGACACGCTTGTCCCAATTGGGGATGCGAGGAGTGCTGGTGCCTATCTCCAGCAGTCAATGGGCGAGAGGCAGGGTACACCCTGGACAGGTCACCAGTCCATCGCAGGGCAACACATAGACAAACAACCATTCATTTCCATGCAGAAAGACCCTAGGCCAGGAATCGAACCCAGGACCTTCTTGCTGCAAGGCAGCTGTGCTACCTACTGCCCCACTGAGCAGCCTTTTAACTTCCATAACAACCATTGGGACACCCTAACCCTTAGAAACACTGAATTAAGGGCCAAGAATGAAGCAACTGATATGATGATTGATCTCTAAAGTCTATTAAAGTGATGTGCAGGGAGCTCACCTTTCCAAGAGGAGGATGCACATCGAAAAAAAAGGTTCTGTTGATGTAGTAGCTCCCCATCTTTCCAAAGTGAGTTTCGTCCCAGCTGAAACACAATTAAACATTAATAAAAGATGCTGGAATGGCGTATAAACACAGGAATTTAGAAACATTACTCACCACACATGAGGCGGATCTGTTATCTTATAAAGACGAGTAGCAAAAGACAGTCCTGTTACCAGGATGAGCAGTAGTATGTTTGGGGAATCAGCCCTTGTTCTGGCTGATAAATCAGCAGGTGAGCCATTTGAGGAGGGGGTTTGATCTCCTTGCTTGTTCTTGGACACTGGGGCGGTTAGAGATTGATGGGTCTGCTCTACTGAGGGAGACACTTTACGGTTTCGGACCGAAGAGGTTTCCCTCTTGTTGTGCCAAAGAGAAACGCATCCTTCTTTTGCCATCAGTAAAAAACACGGTTTTATACCAGCAGACCACCAAAGGTGTAGCTATAGCTTCACGCGGCTGTCATGATTCTCTGCTAACAGAAGCTAACAGCATATAGCAACTATATACATACAACAGCAGGATTCACCTCTCATTCTTATAAATACTGATACATACAATGGTTCTTCTCTCTCTTAACAAATCAGCAGACATTGTATGAGTTTTGTTATTCTCGAGTAAAAAAATAAAATATCAATCAAAACTTTACCAAAGTAGCCTGTCAGTAAAATAACACATTACTATATCCAAGCAAGCTAATGCTAATAACCTAAATATACCGTTATTAGTTTGAAAAGCAGCAAAATGTTACAGAGAAGCTCTACTGTTAAACGTTGGGCACGTTGCCTTCTGGGAAATGTATTTTTTTTTTAATAGCTATGCAAATTATTTGCTGGCGCTGCTTTGTGGGACAAAACTAAAATTCCCAAAATCCCAATCGGGCTATTCCCGTCCCTGTACGGGAAGCCGGAGGGATCAATTAGTGGAGACGATACAATGTTTGTTCTGTTTAGTTCCTCTACATGTTTTTCTTAGAGGAATAAATATTTTAAACAGGAAAAAGAGGAATCATGAAATGACTGAGATAAAAAAAAAAAAAAAAAGTAAATGTAAAAACACAAGGTGAATGGTTTCTGGTAGCTCACTTTTATAAATACGCCACTAGAGGGCGGAATTGAACAATACTTTATTTTATCATCACCATTGTAACAGTGTCTGCATGTCTGTCTCTAGATTGTTTTTATTATGTTGTTATGTGATGGACCAAAAAAATAATGTACAATTGAAGTTATCTTTTTTTTTTTTTTTCAAACTTCCAAAATTATGTGTGGTGGAAACTGTTAAAGATAGGCTCTGTGTATGAACCCTGATGATCTATCTTTCCGGTTCTTTCCCTGAAAAGAGATCACTCAGGACAAACTCTTTAAATAACGCTTCATAATTTATATGTATTAAATAACCAGGAGACATGACAACAGATTTTGATAGAAATTGCTTAGGGTTACAGGATTGCAGCTGATCACCTCTGGGCTCACCTTTAAGGAAGTGGCCCAGATTAAACAGACGAAAAGGCATTTTATACATTTCTAGTCTGCCATATCATCATATTTTACATCATACACATTAGCAGATGATTAGACATCCATGGCTCCCACCCTTATCAATATAGGACACCGCTTTTATTCCATTTCCAAATCTTTGAAGATTATAACTGCATATCCAGACAGAGGAACTTTCCTAATTAGATTAAAACGTCAGTTCTGACGTGCAACAGGCAGCCCATACCAGGGTGTAATAAACTCACACATCTTCAGTGATAATTATCCTAACAAAACCTAACTGCACTTCATCCTGAACCTGATAGAGGTGCTTTTCTTCAGCATCGATGGGAATTCTGCTCAGGTATGGTGGGAAAATGGACATGTAGTAATGGACTCAGAACCAAACTTTCAGTGGAGAATAAATATAAAGTCTACCAACTTTTACCTGAAGGACATTTCCAGGATCAAAATACTACTGGAGCCTAAAAAACACGTAATCCATACATTAATTTTTAGCCGCATTGATTACCGTACTACAAGAGTGTCTTCACTGCCTCCTTTATCTCAAAGAATAGAAAAAACTGTTAACTATCAAAAAGGAACAAGTAGTGTAGCAGCAAAATGCATTTAAGAAATTGTTGTCGTATCCACCTTCCAAAGCTCTCTGGTCTTTAGAACCAAACATGTTAAAGCAGAAGTTCGTTTTTATGCTTCAGTTATGTGAAACAAACTGCCAGAAAACTACAAAAACCATGAGTTTGAAACTCATTGGTTAGAGTTGCCCTTAAACATTGATTTCAACCAGTAAAAGATACATTAATAATGTCAGTCTGATGTTCAACTTCTCTTTTATTTCCCTAATTATACCACCACAATGTTCATTTTTTTATTGTTTGTCCATCATGTAAAGAACTTTAATTGTTTTATCAAAATGTGCTATAGACATAAACACGCAATTTTTCAGAGGAAATCAGAAGTTTTTTATTTATTTCAATGACTGATACAGATTACAGTCAAATGGTAAACAAAATAAACAGTCATGATATTGACAACAGCTTTACAACAATGCTTTTGTATGAAATGACTATTGTTTAAAAGGCTTTAAATAGCTCAGCGTTTACCGCATTGATAGACTTTCAGTCTAAACCAAGCAAATATTAAACAGCAGAGCAAAGAACAGTTGGCTTCATATAAAACACTGCAAAACCTCATTTTAGAAATCCAAAATAAATGATATTTTGTATAAGTTAACAGCTTTTTTCGTCTTGTCAAGGTGTAATCAGGCCCTTGTTTCTTTGTTGCTGATAATACTTACTAATGATTACTGATAAGCCTTTTACTGTATGTAGGACAATGCTGTTTAGAATCCATAAATTAGATATCGATTGAATAGAAACTGTAAAAAATCATATTTGCTATTAAAACGATGCTGCAAAGTTGTGATTGAGCCGGTGCTTGCTATAAAAACAGATTTTTTTTTTAAACAGTGGTGCCACTTGCAAAAACAAAAGTATAAAACTCATAGTCTGCTCCACAGGGCAGGGTATACACAGAGTTCCTATGGTACAGTGTCACTCTTCTCATACAGAAAAAGATATGCTTTAAAAACATTTTTACAGACAGATAAATCTAGAAAAGCTAAACAAAATGGTGGATTTTTTTTGTATTTTTAAGATTTGATGAGTAGTGTCAAATCTAATATCAATGGTACTAAATAGCATTAAGAGAATATGTAACAAAGATCATACATGATACTTAATCTGTACAGAACATATCAAACTTCTTCATTAAGGCCTTTAGGTTTCCATACAGCATTTTTTAAAGAACTCCAGGTAAAGATATTTTATTAAAGCAGCATGATACGCAATTAAAATGTGAAAATACAGCCATTGATTTAAGTACATTTATTCAGTGGGGAAAATGTAAGGTAAAAAATTATAATTGAAAACTGATTTTTGTGCATTTCCACAAACACTATAAAGGTTAAACGAGTTGAATTTTTTTTTTTAAAACAAGTGTATGTTAGGGGGGAAATATAGACGTCATGTGGCCTTGTCATTTACATTATCAAAATTAACCATAGCAAACTGCTATTCACCCTAAAATATATAACCGACAGTTCGACACAATATAATGTTGTGCTTTTTTGTGTGATATCTTTTAATACTCAGCTGAAAGTGCGATTTTCCCATCACTGTTCTAAAGGTTGGAAGAAGAAATTTAGGAGCCCCTGCTCTCTTATATATGTCCCCAGAAGTTACCAATATAATTCTAGTCAGGTAAATAAAATGGTAATGGAGATTGCTTTTTTTATATGTTTTTCTGATAAGCAATTTCTGTGGGAAATCTGTAGGAAATTGCGGTAAGCAATATCTTTGGGAAAATGTCCAATGCAAAATGACAAAAATTACACACAATCTTTATTTCAAATCGTTTTTTTCAAAGACTTTATGATGCAAAGACGACCAATATGATTCCCAAGGGCTTTTTGAAGGGTAACAGCCACGCATCAACAGACCTCTTCCACTGTGCTTGACAATGGAAAGGAATTGCTTCATCCTTTCGTTTCACATTACACTCAACTTAAAGGTTTGTTGCTGAAAAGCCCTTCCATAAACCTCTGTCACAAAGCACTACAGCTTTAAGGAAGAGCCTATTTGAACTGCAGCACACATGAGCTTAATAGTAAATTACGTTGGTACTGTGAGATGCGCTATTGGTTCTTTTCTACGTTCTGTGGTAACAGCTGCTAGAGAAACTACCTCTGGCTGAAGTTTGGGCGATCTGTTCAGCCTAAATAAACTTCACACTATTGATCTAAAGTGTTTTAATTGCAATAAATTACATGTGAGGCAGTGACCCACTGGCCAGCTGGTTGTGCAGACGGTCTGTAATTTATACATTAAAGGAATAGTACACCCAAAACATGATTAGCCTTCATTTTCTACTCACCCCCATGCTGAACAAAACTCTGGAGTACTTTTTTGATATCTCAAATGCATCTGGAGATCTGGGAGGCTTCTTGCTGTCTGCTGACATTCAAATAATGGAGGTCTATGGTGACCGAGACAGAAAGGTCCACAAAAGTCCACAAAAACGTGTCAATATTCCTCCATACTGCTCGTCCAATGTAATCCAAGTGTCCTGAGTGGGTAGCATCCAGAATTTACTCGAAACGAAGTCATTTAGAACGTTTTAGAGCCTAAACAGTAGTGTATAGGATTTCCTAATAGCGCCCCCATGCGCGCTCACGATTCTACGGAAGCTGGCAGACCAAACCGGAAGAAAGTGCGCATTCAGCGTCTGCTCTGCCGATAATGCAAGCGTAGAAGAAGAAATGTGCTGTTTACCTGTGCAAAGAAAGAAACAACGAAAGAAAAATGTCTGAGGACGTCAGTGTTGAGGAAGAGCAGGAGTTCTCTGCCGAGCTGAATGCGCTGGTTTGGTCTGCCGGCTTCCGTAGAATCGTGAGCGCGCATGGGGGCGCTATTAGGAAATCCTATACACTACTGTTTATGCTCTAAAACGTTCTAAATGACTTCGTTTCGAGTAAATTCTGGATGCTACCCACTCAGGACACTTGGATTACATTGGACGAGCAGTATGGAGGAATATTGACACGTTTTTGTGGACTTTTGTGGACCTTTCTGTCTTGGGCGCCATAGACCTCCATTATTTGAATGTCAGCAGACAGCAAGATGCCTCCCAGATCTCCAGATGCATTTGAGATATCAAAAAAGTACTCCAGAGTTTTGTTCAGCATGGGGGTGAGTAGAAAATGAAGGCTAATCATGTTTTGGGTGTACTATTCCTTTAAGGCTAGAAATTGGCCACCCCAATCAATACCAGGATGCAATAAACTTATTCTGCATCTAGAGGAGGAATATCAGCAGGAAGAGGGTAATTGCCTTCGCTATCTCAGCTCTTTTGGAAATCTTTAGTCATATTGAACCAAACTGGTAGGACAGAATGAGTTTCAAATCTAGTTGGTATAAAGGAAGAGTCCAATGGTTTATATAAAGATTTGTTTAAATCAAGATTCAACTCTTTGGGGATCTTTTTCCCTTTCTTAGCATCCTTCTCAGTAATTTTGGTGGGAAGATCAATATTAGTCATGGTCTAGCTTGGTCTCCAGAAGTTCCCCTTATTTATGAACCTCTGGACTATTTATCTGCCTGTAAACATGACCTTGTACACTAACCTTTTATTGTCTTATGAATATTAAAACACGTGTCTAACTTGAACTATGTGCTCTTCTCCCCATGTTGAATAATGCTGAATATAATAAGGTTTTTCAGGTCACATCATATAAAACCCAACGAGACCCCAGAGAGGGAAGGTTTTATGCAACTTTCCTGCACAGTCTTATCAATACCAAGACATAAAGCATAAATGCAAAAGAAGACTTACATTATTTTTCTTTTTATAAATTAGTCATTACTATTTTGAAAAAAAAAAATGTAGTTTTTCTTTCTGTATTAAAGAAATTTTTCTATGAAAGAAAATATTTTGACCCTATGCTAAATCAAAATAAATCTAAATTTAATTTCACATATCTTTACAATTAGTGCCATTAAGTGAGGAGGGTTCTTAATAGAAACATTGGCGTGGTCAGAAGAAGGATTAATTTCTCTGGTTGATACTAGTGTATAAATTACTTTTCTTGTTTAAACCTGATATCTGCAGGTATTATTTTGCTTTTTTTCAAAATCTTATACAGATAATAAAATGAAGGCTGCATTTTTTTTTTGTTATTATTATTATTTTTTTTCAAATTAAGGCATAAAACAGACCAATACTATTAAAGAAACAAATAGGAGATTAGGGAAAGAATTTCTTTCTCAAATGGCCCCAAACAGCCCACTTACTGCTCCATTTCCTGAACATCTTACAGAACCTCATATACACGTAGAGTCTGTCAAAGCTTGTGCAATGCCAAAGCTTTTAATGTGAAAGTTTGGCTGCTAGGTCCAGACATCCTTCAAACTTTAGCTTGAATCCTTAAGAAAACCATTGGTAAGAAACATTCTGATGTTTGTCGACTCAAATAGATGATAAATGACAAATTATTCAACTCCTCAAAGCGTCTTTGCGAAAAATTGAGAGGAATCAAGTCTAACCTCTGAAACTGAATGCTTTATATTTTTCAGAGGCCTTTCTTGTAAATAAAATAAATAAAAAAACTTCAAGAAAAGTTAATTGACAGATAAAATATTGTGGAAAATATATAAGCAGATCAATTTGCCTGGGGTCACTGAATATATATATATATATATATAAAAATAGTCCCAAAGACAATCCCTTTATGGCAAATTGATATACGTTGAACAATTAATTCCATGTAATACATTCACTGCACAGTTCCTGTTATTTTTTTGAATGTGTAATGGGGGGAGGTCTAAGAAAAAACGTTGGTATGCTTGTGTCTGCGAGGAGCATGAGAGGAAAAAAGCTTGGACGAACAGTGTTGCTGTTGGAGGTTTAGTGCCAGGCTCTCAGGGGAAAGAGCACAGGGATGGTGGTTTTTAGAAAGCAGGAAAAGTCTGTTTCTGTTTCACTTTTCTGCCTCCCTGAGCGAGGACTCTGGGATGGCAGGGATGCATTTGTGTGGCTTGGCGGAAGCCACAAAGCCCGGCAGGCAGGTGCACTTGTAGGACCCCTCTGTGTTGATGCACTGGCCGTTCTGACACAACGGGACCTTGTCACTGATGTCCTCACATTCGTTGATGTCTGCAGGGAAGAAGGAGACATAACAAGCCAGTGAGCAGGGTGATTCAACAGCTGCCAGCAGCACATCTGCTGCTGAGTGGCCTCATGGGTGTTAGAGCTAACATAATTTATATTTCCTACTCGTTGGTCTGCTTTCTTTAATTCCTCCCTTCCTTCCTTCCTTTTTCCTGTGATTTGAGCATTTCCTGTTATACTGAATTTCTCAAAAGCAAAAGACTCAAGCAGATGGTGACCACTAAGCTGTTAACCTAAATAATAACTTCCAAATGAACCAAATGCAACAAAAATGTAGCTTGATGCTTTCAGTGGGGTTATATTTTGGTGTTGTGAAATCTAAAAAGCTCTTAAGAGGCCAATGTTCACTTAGGAGGAGCTATAAATCATGCACCTCGTATAATAAACAGTTTTTTTTATAATCAAAAAGTAATAACAGGGAAGTTATTGTTGAGACACAACCATAGGAAGCCATTTTGAAGTTTGCCAAGAGCAAAGTTGATGAAGATGCTTTGATCAAAGAAGATAAAAATGAAATTTGCTATAAATGCACCACATGCCAAACCACCAGAAGTCATTTGGAAAAATTAATCTCACTCTTAAATCTGATGATGGCAGCGTCATGCTGTGGGGATGCTTTTGTTTAGAGGTGCACAGTTGATTGAGTGATGGATGGAGGTAAATACAGGGTGATGCGGAAAGAAATCCTTTTATGATTTGGGCAGAGCTTTCCTAAACATACAGCCAGCGCTACAAAAGAACCATTTAGAAAGTTCAAAGAAATTCATCTGTTGTGTGGTCTATTCAAATTGCAAACTTAATCCTAATGCTTAATCCAAGCATAAATCACAAGAGAGACTCTAAATTTGATATGTACAGATGTCTTCCATTAAGCCTGAGGTTTTATTCAAAAGAAGAATTGGCAAAAATACGGTTTTCTCAATGTGAAAAGCTTGCAAAGACATGTTTATAAAGGTATGTTGCTTTTGTTTGAGCAAACTGCTTCTCTATAAAATCATGTCTTTGGGACTTAAATCACAGTCAGATCACTAAGTCAAACTTGTATTATGATCAATTATTTTAAGATCTATCTATCTATCTATCTATCTATCTATCTATCTATCTATCTATCTATCTATCTATCTATCTATCTATCTATCTATCTATCTATCTATCTATCTATCTATCTATCTGAGAACTCAATACTTAATCTGAAATTAAAACAGTTAAAACACACAAGCTGTGTCAGCTCCTTTTTAACCTCAGTTGTTTCTCTTTGACATTTTTGGAAGATCTGATTATCTTTTCCGAGCATTCATTCTCAAATGACCCCCGTTCTGTTTACGTCATTTCCTGCCAGGGAAAATGCAAGGGGTGATATTTATAAAACGAGGCATGGCACAGGTTGCACAGCTCCCACATGTTTCCTGAGAGTTCAGTCACTCTGCATGGGAAGACGGCTGGCCTTGAAACCGATAAGCCCATATGGAGACACAAGGCTGCAATCATGGCATTACATGACTGCAAAACAGTCTCCCTTTCTTCTAAAACAAACAGAATATATTCAAAAATATAGAATATCACATATGATATATGTGTGGCTAAGATTCAAGGCCTCCTCACTCCTGGCTGAGGGAGACCTGGGAATTTCTAACTAAAGCGAAATGCCCAATGGTTTTAAGGAGCACACTGCTTTCATTACTCTTACATAAAGCTTAATCTAATGCAAGATTGTTATAGTTTGTCCTTGAGCTACAGTAGATAAAAGAAAGGATTCAGAAACGATCCTAAAATATAACTTTGCAGAGTTCAAACTTAAAGACTGTGTTAAAGGCTTTTGAGACATACTGATTGGGGTCAGAGGCTCTTATTCTGTGTTACTTGAGATTCATAATAATAATTGAATTTACTTTACTGAATTCACATTGGAGAAATTTATCTCTGCATTTTACCCATCCAGTTGGGCAGCAGTGGGCTGCCATCATGGGGCACCCGGGGAGCAGTGTGGGGTTAAGGGTCTTGCTCAGAGACCCAGAGTAGCAGTCTGTGGGAGTGGGTCTTGAACTCTGAACCTCAGGATTCCAAGCTCTATGTCCTACAGTAACCACTAGGCTGTGTTGGGATCTGGAGATTCTCCACCTTCTCCAGCAGAGTGCGCTGTGGATCCTCCTGGGCTGGAGCCCTCCAGCACAGCTGACGCTCATCAGGAGGCCGGCCTTTATAAGCAGCTGAAAGACCTTGCTTCGACGCCGCAGTGTTAGCCAAGTTTGGCTAGCGAACCTGAGCCTCTGAATTTACTAATAGTTATCTTCCTAGAGAAACCTTATTTCTAATTGCCTCTATCTTCTCGCTCCTAGGAAACCAGTCTCTCAAGAGAAGCTCTGGATGAGCTTAACCTGAATCTGCCTGCCTGCCCTAGAGAGCCAAACCTGAAGACTACATTCTGGAATCCACCCGCTGCTCTTGGGAAAGAGCTAATCACTTCAACCAAGGTCTGTTCACTGGAAGTCAGAAGTAAGACGCTGCTGCTGCCTAAGCACTCTGCTGAACCAACAGTCTCTGGACCCAACCGGTTCCCTCTCTCAGAGCAAACCTGGACCTCTTCAAGGTATCCACTGAAATATCTGAAAACCCATTGAACTTATCTGCATACCCAGCTAACCAACTATCCGTCTCTGCAGACGCCAGAGAATCCTGCCCGGACCAGAACCTGAATCTTGTCTTGTTTGTGTGAAACTTTAATAAACTCTGTTAAACCTTTTACCAAGTCTCAGTGGTGTTCTGCATGTGGGTTTATCTCTAAACCGATCATGACAGGCTGCCCCCCCCATTGAAGTGATTTAAAGCCTTATGCGTTCTAAAATAATTGGGGATGAACGTACCTATGCAGGCCATCTTATCCAGGTTAAGTTCATAACCATCGAAGCAGTCGCAGGTGTATCCCTCTCGAAAACGAACGCAGCGTCCGTTTTCACATCCGTTCAGGATCCCACATTCCTCTGCCCGGAGGCCCTCAAAGCTCTGGTAGCGCTCTGTTTAGACCAATAAGTTCATATTAAACAGACTTTATATAATTCAGTGAGTCCAGTTTTAGGAACAGCTAAGTTAAAGCTTGCTTTCTGCTAATTGCCTGCTAATTTGTGAACCTGAGCTGTTTTGATCTAAAAGAAGAATTAACATCTTCAGCCAGAACCTTGGCTAAAGCCTTTGGTTTACACTTACCTCTACCTGTATAGGGATCCAATGGTTGGGGCTGGTTCCCACCTGGTCGTAGGACAGGGACACGAAAGGGTGGTTCGGGCATGTTGTAGTCGCTGTCAGGAAATATGGGAACACTTTCAGGAATTCCACCACCATAGTTATCCCAGTAGGGAGGAACCTCTGGGCCTTCGCCGTAGTCATATCCTATCCGCTCTCGAAGACTATCCGTTCCTTCTATCCGGATGTTGCACATTGAAGCATAGTCAACTGTAAGACGAAAAGTGAGAATTTGTTACAACTAGCTAACATTTAGGAGGGAACCATAGTCTGATGTAATTCTGCTTCTCACCAGTTTCTTTCCCGGGGCAAAGTGCACACTGACCACTCCATGCAAGTCCGTACAGACAGCAGCATTCAGTGAATGTGGTTCTGCGCCCATGCATCGGGTCTGCGCACATGTTGTCTCCCTCGAGTCGACGCCAACAAATATCCACATGAACATCCCCAGGAGAATCTATAGCGTATTTAAGAGAAAGGAAGGGGAAATACTGTTGCCATTTTACCACTTTAATAGGGACATTTTTTAAAGTATAACTCACCCCAAAAATCTCCTTTAAAAAAAATACTCTTTACAAACTGTTCCTTAGGGTACTATAGTAATGTAAGTTGTACTGATTTTTTACATTTCATGTAAACTTGTTCCGTTCTGCAATATTTGTCTAGAGATCTCCTCAAGAAGACATCTGACTTCCTCTTAAGGTCAAATGCTGGCCTTTGTAGCTGAAATTTTCCTTTAGTTCAAATGATATGTATGTGCTTACATCATCATAGCCCTGCCTCTGCAACACCAGCTTCTGGCATCACGAAGGCTACGTTCACACTGCAGCCTGAAGTTACCCAAACCAGATTTTTTTTTGCCAATATGCGACCTGTATCTGTTGTTTTCATGTAAGTCTCAACAACACAGATCCGATATTACTGAATCTGAAACGTATACGTGTTTGAAAGACCAGATCGCATTCATCCAACCTTTATGTCATTAATACTCAACATAGGCCGCTATTCTGCATCCTGCTCACAGAAGCGAGAAGATAAAACAACAACCCTGATGGATGATAATGCAGAGAGCAGGCTTTTTTCCTGATCTTCTTGAAAAGATTGCACTGTTAATGTAGTGGTTCCAGTTGGAAAAGTAATTAAAGAGTCAAAGTCATCCATAAACACTATCATTTTTACTTCCATAAACATGGTGTGAATGCAGCCTAAATCACCACTTTGAGCCAGCAGGGCCTTACAACTGCTGGATAGGGGTGGGAAGAATCCTGCACCTCAAAAAGACATGCTACTAGAGTCCCTCTGATAACTTTAAATGATCTAATATGTCAAATTAAGCTAGCTGGCAAGTTCACACTCATCCCCACACCTCATTGTTTCTTGGCAACAAAACACTTTAGAGTTTTTTTCTTTTAATTTGTCCTAGGGCATGGTTAGACTCTTACAATAGGGTGAGTTATACTCCACATACAATTTATATTCAAAATAATAAAGAATCAAACATATCAAAAGTACTGCATATTTCTAAGTGTCTGACCGTCTGTTGTGTTGTGAGTTACACAGCGTTGCCGTGTGTTGTCCAAGACTAATGGGGGGCTGCAGAAACAGTTGAACGATCCTGCTGTGTTCATACACACTCCATTTTCACAAGGGTTCTGTAATCCGCATTCATCGTAATCTGAAAGAATACAAAAAAGAAAAGCACAACTCCATCAGGGGAAATTTAAAACAGGTGTATATATGAGTATTCATTCTGAAATAAATAAAGACTAACTAGGGTTGGGCTTGTATTTAGTGTGAGGGTCCTATTAACAAAATAACAGAGAAAGGACTGGATAGATTAGAGCTCTTTGTTTCATTGTGCTGCACACGTTTAATCACAGGATAAAAGAAAGTAATTGATTTATAATAATTTATCATTTTCACAGAATAAAAATAACTAAAAAAGGAGAACAAAAGGAAAAATAAGAAGGAAGGAAGGAAGAAAGAAAGAAAGAAAGAAAGAAAGAAAGAAAGAAAGAAAGAAAGAAAGAAAGAAAGAAAGAAAGAAAGAAAGAAAGAAAGAAAGAAAGAAAGAAAGAAAGAAAGAAAGAAAGAAAGAAAGAAAGAAAGAAAGAAAGAAAGAAAGAAAGAAAGAAAGAAAGAAAGAAAGAAAAGGATGCTCAGACCGTAGAAAAGGGAAATGGGATTATTTTCAATACTTTTTATTCAATGCACTGCAAAAACAATCTATATTTCTTAAATTAAGTGTATTTGCCCTTAATTTAATTTAAATAGATAAATTAGATTATTTGCTAATGGAATGCATATTTTTTCTCTTAAAATTATATAATAGATAATATACACTTGAAATAATAAGACTTTTCTTATTTTAATGTAAATGTCTTGTTCCATTGGCCAAATGTGTCACTTATCTCCTCAATTAAAAAAATGCACTTTAAGAAAAAATTGTTAATTTAGATTTATATTTTTGTGCAGTGTATTGGCCCCTCCACCATCTAGCAAAGCTAAAGCATATACATTTTTCATAAAAACACAGAAAAGACAGATTGGAGAGAATTCTGATCAGGATAAACACTTAAATCTCATGAAAGACATCAAGGTCAACTTGCAAATGTGATTTTGCTAAACACTTTTATTATTTTATATTATATATTTATTATTTATATGCATTGACTCCAACCTTCAGTTACCTTCAGTTAGACCAAAATTTAAGAAGATTTAAAAATGTAGCTGTTTAAAATCTAGAAAAACATGTCTGCAGACAATATTATAACTGTAGTCATTCATATCTGTTTATTTTCTGAGTAGCAATTTCTTTTAAATTAAATTTTGTTCCACATTGTTATTTTGATACTCAACAATTTTAATCTAAACCGTTGACTCACCAAGAGGGAGACATAATTTTCTCAAACATTTTTAAGAACTGTTCTAGTGGTGCTCGCACAACATCAGCTAATAAAAGAATGATAAAATTGCAATATACCTGAGATTTTTATGTAAGAAAATGTACATTCTTACCAACACACTCTAGTCTGACTTTGTCGTAGAAATACCCAGAAGGACAGTAGCAAGTATATCCTGCAAAATAATTGGAGCAGTCTCCATTCTTGCAAATCTCAGGTCCAAACATCTCACATTCATTTGCATCTGGAGGAGAAATAGATCCATGCAGTGGAGTCAATATAAATACACAGCTTGGCTGCTTTAACACAAAACTATGCTTTCTTTTAAAAAGACATAATGTATGATAAGACATGACGTAAGATTGCATTTCCTGTTTTTGAAGATTCATCTTCAATGTGTTTACCTCTGAAATGCAGATGTTCTACTGAGGAAGCTAATAATCCACTGCCATGAGGACACAGCTGGTTGTAATCATCTGAAAAAATTATAAAATTCACTCACTGGTGAATGAAAATTAAAAACATCTATTTTGCTATATCATAATCCAGAGTGAGCCTGGTGCCTTTACCTTGTCCTACAAGAGGACAGGTGTGAATCTCACAGTTGTCCCCCCAGCCGGCGCCGACTGTACAGCAGCACTCCTGCTTGGTGACGTTGTGAGACAAGACGTTGTTGCAGAGGTTGGGATCTTTCAGGTTATAATAGCAGTCCTTCCTCTCTTCAGCAGTGGATGTAAAGACTGGTTTAGAACCATCAACAACTGTAAATAACCAAAGAAACATTTTTTTATTAGGAAGAGAGCGCATTTTTCAAAAATGAGGTATTGTAAAAACAAGGTTTCCTATTTTTTTTGCAGTGTTGTCTTATATTACATGTCTCATATTACAGAAATTTAATTACAGAAAAGAAAGAATACGAAACACAATTATTATTGCTATTTTCACTCTGGCTCCCTGGAACGTTTCTTTAGATAGAAAACTTTTAAACCAATCTGTCTGGATCATTTGATTTAGTTATTAGGGATTTTGGGATATTTTTCTACAAAGAATACTATTGTATGAAGAAAAAATGCACAAATCATGGAGCACTGCAAAAACGTTCTGAAAGGAGTAAAAACGACTTAAAATATCCTTAATTTGAGTAGGAAAATCAGATGATGTGCCAACTTAATGAGAATTTTTACCCTTAAAATAAGATAATTAGATATTGAAATAAGCTATTCTTTTCTCTTATTTTAAATATAAATTGTCTTGTTCCATTGGCAAAGTGTCTCACCTACCTGCTCAATTCTAGAAAAAAAAAACCCAACACATTTTCAGAAAGAAATGACTTACTTAGATTTGAATTTTTTTGCAGTGAACAAATGGCTGACCAATAATACTCCAAGAGAGCATAAAGCCAATTAAAAAGTGCTGGCTAGCGAATTATTTTACAAAGGGACGAGCTTGTATTTCTATACATTGCTTCTTATTAAAAAAATCATCACTTGAAAAGTACATTTGAAAGTTACTCAAGTTCCCTTTGTCTAAAATTAAAACTAGTTTGCGGATCCAAAATATTAATTGCGACCAAAAACTCAAAAAAAGAAGGAATCTTAAAAGGGACAAATACTTTAAGTTAAGCATCATCACACTGTAATAGGTGTAAACAGCTGCTGCTTTCTCCCTGCATCCATCAGCAGGCTCTGTGTTCCTCTCGCTGCTCATTTGTCCACAGTGATGGGCTCAGGCATTTCACTCCTAAGCTGCTGGCTTAGCCCAATGGAAACACTGGCATGTGAGTCAACACACCAATTCAGACTCACATGATTGATTCACACACGTCAAAAGCAAACAGAGGAATGTGGCAAAAGTGTACAGAGAGGCATAAACGGGATTTAGTGGCCAAGAAGGAGAAAAAACATCACGACTATGGGCGCGCCACTCAATAATGTACGCCCAATATTGGGTATACAGTCTGTATTTCTATTGGTTAAAAGTCTTTATCTTTAATTTTGAAATAAAAATATAACATATATTCTACCTCAGTGATTTAGGACAATTCAGAAAAAAAGAAATAAAAAGTGTTTTAAGCTGTTGCTGCTTTGAAGTAAATCTTATCTTTGTTTGTCTTCTCCATAAATGTACCAGGTCTGCAGATTTTTTCCTTGGCTCCACTTTAGGACTTTCTTCAGTATTTATCTCAGGGATTAGGTTAATGCAAAAATTGTAGGTGAACTACCTAAAATCAGTCACAGCCCTTAAAACAAATGGATCCAGACAGGTCTGAAGCACAGTTACAGAGAAGGCTATGTCCTCCTCGTCAGCCTTGTTTGGATAATAAGAGACGGCTCATTAAATCAGGGAAAACCCCGTCTCCCAACGATAGGATGGAGAATTAAGTCCTCTGACTGCTCGCACTGCTCATGTACCCATAGAGCGGCACTGCCTGGTTTCAGGATCAAATTCCTCATTGTCGTTGGGGCAGATGCACAGGAAGCTTCCGTCAAAATTCTCACACAAGGCCTCCCCGCACAGCGGCGAGCTCATCTCGCACTCGTTCAGGTCTGAAAAAGGCAGGACAGGAGGTCAGGATCAGCAAAGTTTCAGACATGTAGTAAACTTTATTGGCATACAGTCACAGTATAAATAACAGCGGCGCTGTGTCTACATGCAGCAGACAACTTAGTAAAACACTTGGCAGTACAGAGTGAACAAGATCTTGGTATAATCAGAAACTACAGAGAAAATGAAAAGGTGGCAGAAATCCAAAGAGCAACTTTGAAAGCAAAAAATCCTTAAGCCCAATATGAAAGGTTGCAATAGAGTCTGGCTACTTTGCAATAATAAAAAATAGAGAGTGGTTGGGAAATGTTGCACAGTACAAAATTGAAGATTTGTACTGTGCAAATGATAGACTGAACACTGCTCTATAAGGTATTTAAAGCATAAAATATTAGCAAAACCTCATCTCTGATCTTTCTGATGTATTTAATTTTTTGCTCATTATGATACCGTTTTACATAATTTTTTTCTAATAAACCTGCAGTGAGTTTTGGACATAATTTGCTGCAATGGATTAAGTCTATCTGAGCAAAGGGAGCAAAATACATCATTTTACTTCCAGTTTAAATTTAATTCACTTCTTTATTTAGATTTTTTTTACATTTTAACAAAAAACAAAAGTTTGTAGTAAAATAGATTTGAAAAAGGCCACCTTTATTAAAACACTAGAGTGTATCTTACTAGTTTCCACTCAGTTTACAGTGATTATAAATGTATTATTGCTCTAAAATGTAACCATAGTATTGCTGTTTGCTCTTTCTCATATTACTTATCCTCCCCATACTCAGTTAAAAATCAGTGCCATGGCTATTCTTGGCAGATAAGTATTTTTCTTTTTCATTCACATCCTGAGAAGAATTCCTCACTCTGTTTTTCTAGCAACCAGCGCCACCGACCCTGGATGCCCTCCTTTAGCCCAGGTCTGATTCCTACTACAGCCAGCATCGAGTAAGGAGTGTTCCCTTTCTGTTACGAAACCCGCCTTAATATTCCACCTTAAATCTAGATGTCATTCTTATTGATATGTCATGGTTTTATTTATGTATCATCTTGCAATTAAATCCTGCATCCACATAAAAATGTGGATCGGAAAATATGTTCAGTTAAAACCGGTTCTAAATCTGCAAAAGATCAATTTATACCCATCATGTGAGGAGCTATGACAGCATTCAACTGCTGTCATAGATATTTAGGTAAGTGTTTGTTTAATAGCTCTTTCAAAATGACTGGCATGACTGATCAACAGTTACTGGAAACATTTACTTTCAGTAATTATTACAAGGTGTCAGAGAACATACTGCCAACAGTTCTGGCACTTATAGAAATACTGGATCATTTTTCCAAGACAATAAATGAGTGAGTAGAAGATTATTTTTGTTTATTTTTTTCAGGGTTTGTGCAACAACATATGGCATTTGAGCTCATATTTATACAGAAATAACAAAAATTCCAATGGAATCTCAAAATAAGCTCTAAATTTTGTGTCCTAGGAAATATACACATAGTTTTACACAGTGGTAAACAGAAATGTTCAACCACACCCCTTTTTTTATACCCTTTTCCCAAAATATTTAGATTTTAATGTTTTTCTAATGACCGTTTATCTAATACACAACTCTGGTTAGTAACTGGGAGAAATGATGGTCTTTATAGAACACATAAGGGAAATTCGCAAAGCTTTAGCTATTTTTTTGAGACATGCTCTGGATTCACAATGCAGGCCGCAATAAATCTTTGTCGATCAGAATAAAATCTCTGTGTCAATCCAGCAGAAGGGAATACATGCACCATGTTGCACTCATTAGTGCAATTTCTCAGTCACAGACAGCAGATGTAGTGAGTTGTACAGTACATATAGAGAAATGTTTGACTTCACTTATTTTAATCAAAAGACAGCTCAAGGTCCTAACCTGGAAAGGAATTCCTTAAACTTTAAAAAAAACATCTACCTGGAGGAGTAGTCAATAAATGATAATGCAGATTGTTAAAGACAGTAGATTGATGCACGTTCAGTAATAAAATCACACAGTTAAAATCCTGCTAATTTTAAAATAAGCAGACACCTTTTATCAAACCTAGAGGAATACAATGTCTCTTCATCTTCATCTCAGATGAGCTGTAGGATTTAAATGATTTGGGTTTCGGCTTGTCAACAATCTGCTGGTATTTTCCACATTCCTATAGTTTGCATTGAAAAATAAACAAATTCAATTTGAAAGAATTATTTAATAAAGGAACATTTTCTTTAAATTGTTTCAGAACAGTAAGGAAAAACTCTAGAAAAGCTTAGAATTTGGGTTAAATATTTTCCAAGTGTATTTAAGTATGGGGAAAAGGATAAAGAATATAAAAAGTTTTATATCAAAACAATAAATGTCTGCTTGCTTCCTTACTGAATGCTACCTTATCTTCTCTTTCTCCTTGTTTTAGTCTTTAATACATTTATAATACTTTAAGTAATAAGTTAAAGAAGGTGGAATTTGTCTGCAGCATTATTCCATTGTTATTATTGGTTATTTATTTCAGCTATTAATCTTAAGACTGGAATGATGCAATAGCTACCCTCATTGAAGTTTACAAACAAAAATAAGGTTTACCCCCTCAGAATTCCTTTACTTAGCCAAGCTGGCAGTGAAGTATTTATAAATTTTTCTTTCACCTAAGCCAAAATCAGCACTGGCTTTCTGCAAACAATTTTACAGGGCACCCTCTGTAATATAACATTTTGCCCTTTGAGAATATTTGGCTTTTTTTTCAGCTATAAAATCCAGATGTAGGTTGTCATAAATATGGACAAACCTTCCACTTATAGCACAAATAATGTCTCGTTTTTTTGAGCAAAGTTAAAGGTGATACAATCTTAGAGGTAGGTCTACCTTATTCTCAACATTCTTATTCAGAAAGCTCCACCTCAGATGTGTTTTGAGTTCTTAAACACTGGATTATTTAATCCTTGGCAGATACATACCCACACATCTAGTAATATCATCCGATGGGTTGGTGTAGCCTTGGTAACAGTGGCAGCGGAAGGAACCGTCTGTGTTCTCGCAGACGCCATGATTCCCACAGATGGTCTCATTTGCGCATTCATCAATATCTGAAAGAGTGGTGAGCACAAGATTAATATTGATATTCTCAATCTGCAGGGCAGACATTAAAGCAGCTTCCGTGAACATAGACCTCCGCTCTCCAAAATAAATACACCACATGCAAACTGCCAATCAGACCACAATATAACAGCACATCACTGCCTTTGTAAAATATCAGAAACAATGTACGGATGGGGTCATTCCTTTGCAGTTCATCATTTTCCTTGAAATATTCAATTTGCAGCCAACAAACAGAGTGTGGATCTGGGAAGCAGGAAGTTAATGTTCTTCATTGTGGCGAAGGAGTGAGAACTTCCAGCCAGCATCCAGATGTTTTACAAGCTGCTTGGGGAAAAATAGACTTCAAATCTGGCATCAGGGCGTGTTTCGACAGTTTTTTGGCAGATATTGAGTCCAAACTTATCAATACATTTTCTAAAATGATGAAATTGTTAAAAAATAAAATATCTTCTGAGAGCTGAAGGTGTTTTTTAGAAACTCTGGCAGATGTCAGGCACATTGTACGGCGGTAAATCCTAAAGCAAGTTTAATAAATGTGAAGAAGTACATGCTATTTGTCAGTGTGAAGGAGGCTTGTCGAAGCTGTTAACATTGGACCTTCTCACAGATCTGCTGATTCCCCACCAAGTGCTGTTTAAAGGCAACATTTGTTAGCAATTTCTTACATACATGATTTAGTATTTCTTGGCATCTCCTGCAGCCGGATGGAGGCCAAAGGCCGATACGGCAGTAGGATGAGGTTGATTATAATTGTTTAAAAAGCAATCAGAGAGTTTATTGTTCACACTTTTGTCACATGAATTTGTCCTCTGCTCAGTCAGGCATGCCACTGATTTCGGTTTGTCTGTTCATAACTTGCCAAGCAGAGTGGCATACATTTTCAGGTTTCAGTTTTTTCCTTATCTTAGCAAAATTAAATTAGGGTAAAACATCAAGTCAATTTAAGTTTTAAATGAACTATTTGATAGAGAAAATGCTCCCTGTTCTTTACACACAATAAACTACCTCAGAAAGTATTCATATGCTTGAATTTCCTCAGGATTCTTTACAACAAGTTTAGTTTAATGGTACTTTGTGTGATAGGCTTACTCAGAGTAGTGAGTAATCCTGTGAAGTAAAAAATTAAAAGCTTTGAAATGGGCTCCAAAACACTTTACAAACAGGAAAATGAAATGTGTTGCATTTGTGTTCTTAGTGCTTTCAGTCCCTTTAATGTGGCAAATCTGTAGAACATCATCAAGGGCTTGCACTTTAAATAATCTAAATAAGGAGTGCTTGTTTGAGGAAAAAGAAATCAACTCATGGAACAAGTTGGGGTGCTGCAGTCTATAAACAAAGATTGTGCGTGGAATCTTTGTATATAGGTGTTAAGTTAAGACGTTCACACAGGAGATTGGAAATTGGTTGAAATTGGTCATCGAAAAGATGAGGTTCTAAACCATTGAGTTGGATTTATTAACGATAATGATAATAAAAGGAAAATAATTAGCATAATATTTAATGTTTTTAGTTGCACACTAAATAAGTATCCTAAAGTGCTCCAAATAGAGTTAAAAAATATTGAAAATAAAAGTAATATGAAAATTATACATTAATTATAAAACCCGAAAAAGCTCCCTTTGACCCCCTGCTGACAGAAGAGGAGTCGGATTTAGAGCGAGATTATGCTCTAAACAGCTGGATTTACCTCCAACCCCTCACAACTTATTTGAGACTATTTCCCTGCTAAAGGATGAAGCCTCCAACATGTTTTCTTCTTAACTTCATCCACCAAACCATTTCTTTTTCCCAGAGACCGTAACCCCCACCTCATCAGGCTTTTGCTGCGGTTACTGAACAGCAACAATCAGACTTTCAAAATCTTGGATCTTGATTTACTGTATTCCCCAACCCTGTTTAAAAACCGCTCCGCAAAATTCTTGAACCTGTGATGAATAAAAATCTCAGATCAGGGATAAACCAGATGCAGGTCACATTTTTCAGAAACAAATTTATTAAAACTTTGGGGGTTAAGGATACCTTTACAAAGCACTGTCCTGTCTAAATAAATCTTTATTTTGCCTCTGAATAAATGCTGTGTCAGTTGAGGAAAGATAGAAAGAGGCCCAGAGAAACCACAACTTGTTCGATTTGAACGGTGCACACAGCCAAAGCCCTGTCTTCTCCTGCAGAACAGACAACTGTCTTTGCAGAGCTCTGGGGAGAGTTAATCCTGAGCCAGAGTTTCTGTTCTCACTTGGAAATGCCTCTTACATACCTCAGGGGTCACAGACAGGGGCTCTCACAAGCTAATAAAACTGCAGAGACAAAATTGTCTTTGTTGATTGAAGAACTTCACACAGGAAATACTAAAGACCAACATTTCTAGAATAAAACTGTGGTCTACACTGCTTATAAGATTCGAATATGAGGCATGAACAGACACATACTTGACCAAAAACCTTCAGTACACTTGATTTGCATGCTTGCTTGAGAATTGAAGTGAAGCTGAGAAAACATTTGGAGAAATATTCCTGATGTAGAGTCTAGGGCAGGGATCTGCAACCTTTCATATCCAAAGAGCCATTTAGCCCCGAATCTGACCAAGTAAAAGTTGTTTAGAGCCTGAAAATATAACCTGACTTTTTTTTTTTTAAGCCTTTTTTTTATATCTCATATGGGAAATTAGTTGCCAACAAATTATGTATTTTTAGCTTTTAAAATAATAATAAACACATAAATTCCAAGCTAATTCAAAGAAAAATTCTTCTAAAAACATACTTCTGGTTCTTTTCATGTCATTCTTTTCCATATTGTGTTTATTTCCATCTTGTGTTTAAGAAAACATTTAAGACTAGTACATTATTTAGCTCTTTATATACATTTTAGCCACTATTAGGAGCCGCTGTAGGGGGTCCAAAGAGCCGTATGTGGCTCTGGAGCCGCAGGTTGCAGACCCCTGGTCTAGGGTATAATTATTGGTAAAGAGCTAATGAAGCATTTTCATAAATAGTGCAGAACTCAATTGGAGTTGTGAGTGTTGAAATCTTACCGGCATCCAGTTGGGAGGTCTTAGAGGGAAAGCTAATAAACAAACTCATCAGTGTCTGGAGGCAGCATTTCATTCATGTGTAAAACGGAACCTAAATCTGCTGTAAACCATATGCTGCTATGAGATGCAATCATGTTATCATCCCTGGAGGAATGCAAGCATTGAAAACACAGCAACTTTATGGCCTTTATTGTTTTTATATCTGAATATTTGAGTGAAAGGATTGCTTGACAAGCCATCTGGATGTGTCATATAATGAGAAAAGCTTGGTAATCACAGCACTAATGGGTTTGAGCAAAACAAACAAACAGAAAAAACATATAAATGAATATAAAAATACTGTTTTCATGAAAGAAAGATTTATTTAAGGACACTTTTTGTAAGAAAAATAACTGAAGGAGGAAAGAGGGTGAGGAGTTTAACAGAGATGGGAACAGCTGATGTTAACAAGCATGCATCCTTGTAGTCTGACCCAGGAAAACCTGCTTCCTGGATCCAGTAGTGGTTTGATTTCAGAATGGATAGGAATTATAAGGACATCATTGTTCATGTGTCCATATAAGTATAGTAACGAGGAAAATACACAAATATGAGATTAATAAAGTCCACACTTTCCCATACTGTGTAGGAAAGAAGTGGAATTATTTTTAAATGTCAGTAGGTGAGGACTGGGTGAGGTATTTCCTTTAATGGAATACTTGTAGAGATGTAGTAGTGCTGCAGTTTGAACTTAAACACTATCTACCTTTGATGGAACATAAAATCCTGCATGGCTGTGATTCCAAAGCCCAATTCTCAAGATCCTCTCTCCTGCATGTCTTAAACATTTCCCTGCAGCCACACACTTGACTTATATGAATGAGTGATGTGCTACGGAGGAGAATGCAGTCTGCTGCTTCAACAGGGTCACATGAAAAATGTGTCTCTAGGACAAATGTGTCTCTAGGTAAGAAAGAACAAGGGCAGACTAAAAAGCTGATTTTTATTTCTACAATATATTTAATGGACAATCAAAAAATGATCAGAGAGGCAGCAACACAGAGGGAGCAGTTGTAATTTCAGGTTTTTACTATTTTTCATATGCATTTGCTTAAAAATCTCCTGTATTCCACGTTGTGAAAGGAGAAGGGAAAAAAAGACGAAAGCCTCTTCCTCTATAAAACAGTAAAATAAAACCTAGATGAAGCCAAACTTAACCATCAACTACCATTTTAATCCTAACCTTAACCAAAATTTAATTCACACCGTTTCTCTAAACTGACTTGTTTAAATGTGAGTCCACAACATTAAGGCCAGCATTTGGTCCCCACAAGGCCTGTTCTAAAGTCCCTATATGTTCTATAGTCCACAGGTCCTGTCCTCAGAAGGTGAGTAAATATGTCAAAAACAGTCCTTAATAGGTAACATAAATAAGTACACACACAGACCAATAGAAATTATGTGGCAAAATCATGTGTGGTTACTTTTATATAGAATCATCTAGAGTTCATGTTAAGGTGAAAAAACTGAAGGGCTCCAAATTCCTGTCTGTTTTCCATCCAGAGCCCTAATTTGTCTGCAGAATCAGTGAGGTTGACAAAGGTTTTCCTTTTTAACCAACACACTTGATCCAAATATGCATCAAAACCAATAATAGACTGGCTTCACCTGAGGTAATTTAACGTCTTTAAGGGAGTTGGACTGCAGGATGATATCTGACAGAAATTATGTGCAGTTGTCTGAAGAGGCCCTTTTGGCAAATTATGTCGTCATAATCCTGAAACTTCCAAAAATGATGAGTTACCAGTAAAACTACTCTAAAAAAAAAAAAAAAAGTCACTACTGGGTTTAAACACTTTAAAAAATAGGTTATAACCCCCCAAGGATATATCATATCAAAGGCGTAAAATTTATAAAATGTTTTGTTCACAAGACAAAAGTGATGACAAGTTAACTGAAATATTTATGATCTGCTTATGGTAACAGCAACAGGGCTTATCTGGTATATCATCAGCATACAGCCTGGATGAAAAATATTTGCAAAAGTTAGCAAAGATGTTAAAGTAACTAATTCCTATACATTTATGAGGTTAGGAGGTTGGCAAGATTAAAACCGCAGACAATTTCCTCTTTAAGGCAAGCCTTATTAAAAACATGGCATAGCTTAAGGGAAGTTATGACTATGAGTGTGACTAAAAACTAAAAACAATTACCACAGCATCATGGAGGGCTTGTGTGCCCTCATTATAGCACAATTGCGGGTGACGTTTGCGGTGGAAAAAAAACAACTCTGTTTTTCCTTTTTATGTCATGGCGCCTAAATCTAAATGAGAGCAAGGAGCAGAGCCAACGACAACCGCTGTCCCCTTCGCAGGCGTAACACCAGCCTTTGCAGAAACAGCAAATTACAGCGTCTGCTCCCTTTTTAAATATCGGCTGATTTTTACAAGCGGACAAAAAAGCCATGAAGTAAGTGAGCTCCCCTCCTTGGATTTTTATTGAAATGACGGCAGCATCTCCCACATATCCCCATTGCGGGGTGAAACAAGCTGCTGTTGAGTGAGGTGTTGGGCAATCTCTAGGTCATATAGCAAGATCTTCAACTGAAACTGTGAGTCAGAGCTGTATTAGGTGTGTTTGATGCTTATTTTCTTTAGAACACAACCAGCATCCAGGTTGTATTAGGCAGACGGTCAAATAATTCACACCTCATTACTTTAACAAAGTAAAATGCTGCAGGGTGTCTTCGGCCAGGTTTTATTACTGTTTACTAATATTTCTAAACAGTCTTCAGTGCAACCAATGAATTCAGTCATATATTCAGTAAATTTTCACATTTTCTGATGTTACAAAAACATGCCTGTGGTGTCTCTGAATGAGCTGCAGAGATCTAAAGTTCGTCTGGGAGAAAATTAGACTCAACCCGAGAACTATGAGACCAAGGTTTGGTCAAACGACACCAAAATAGATATTTTTGGCCTCCCTCCTAAACTCCATCAGTTGAGTACCAAGAGTGTGTTAGTCTATGCTGCATATTTGCTAAATCCAGGAAAGATCAGGCTTCAGCTTCTGTCTCTTGGTGCTAAATGAACTCCATTGGTAAAAATATGATACTGTAATCAGTTTCTGACCTCGCATTAAGGTTTCCATGATGGGACTCTATTGTATGTATGCTCCACATTTTAAGAGTGTTTTCATTATAATCAGGATTGTGTCTGTGTACGGGAAGACTAGAAAGGAGAGATCAAAGATTTTTTGTCTCCACCATGTTGTTGATGTCATTTCTATGTGGAGAGAGGGACTGTTCATACACAGTGGGAGGTTCTAAAATTAACTGAAATTAATTGCCTTCAGTAGTAATTTATGTTTAAAACAATTCTACCTGCATTTAGACTTAGACTCAACTTTATTGAGTCTACTGTAGTTTATTGAGCTTACTATAATTTAATTGTAATGCACAAAACAACTGAGAGCCTTAGGGTCTTTTCTAGCAACCAAACAACACAGTAGACTATAGAACATAGAAACATGTCAGAAACAAAGCTGTGGGGAATATCAAGCAGACAAGACAGCTATCCACCATGTTGATTATCTAATTGTCAACTTTTTAATCAATAATTGGGATATGGATGGAGTATAGCCCTGTTATGAACCTACAACCATTCACAGAAACTGACACACTGGGCAAGGATATTAATCAATGAAGCTGCTAAGAAGCAAATTATACCTCTGGAGGAGCTGCAGAGATACACAACTCATCCAGGGGAATCTATTAATGAGATAATACAAATCAGGCCCTTCTGGATAGGACACAACCAATAAGCTATGCTAAAAAGAATCACATAAGTACTTTCACTTGCAATATGCCTTAAGTCAGGGGTCTTCAACGTTTTCAAGGCCAAGGACCCACAAACTGATGGCGAGATGGAGCGGGGACCCCTAATTATATATATTGTATGAAAATGTGTTATACCAAACTGGTCATGTAATGAAATTTCTCCCTGGGATTATTAAAATATTTCTGATTCTAATTCCTTGTTGATGGGACAGGTGCTGTGAATGAAACAGTGCCCAGCTTGAAAGAGCTCTGGTGTGTCACTGAATTTGTGCATTGATGACATCTTCTGCTTCCATTTATCTGTTTAATACAGTGTGTTGAATTAATTTTAATATGAATTTAAGGACATTTCAATTAGTGGAAAAATTGCAGGGGGGGAATATAAAAAAAGTCTAATCAACCAAAACTTTCGCTACCCCAATGCAGACCCCATAGGGGTCGCGAACCCCGCCTAAAGTCAAGTAGGGGACATTACAAACACCTGGAAGAAGATCATTTTTTTCAGCTGAGAGGAAAGCAGATTGAGTATCGCTTAATTTAGGGCGGGTCGTTTTATGCTATGGAGATGCTTTAGATTTACATTCTTTATCCAGTCTAATTGATTATGAGCCACTTTGCAAACGAGGAATTAAAAAAAAATGCAGACACAAAGTATTAACTAAGTGGGGCTGTACAGCATGTAAGTGCATGCCTTATTTTCATTCCCCTTCATAATTATGCCCTAGTTTATACTAGTCTATCAAATAAAATTCCAATACAAGAGCTTGTGGTTGTAACGTTACACAATGTGAAAATGTTCAAGGGGTTTTAACATTCTCGTAAGGCACTGTACATCATTTAATCACTCACCGCACTCTCCATCAAGCATGCCAGGCTGGCACTGCATGAAACACCGGTAGGAACCGATAGTGTTCTCACAGCTCCAGGTGCCACACACTGAGCTTCCAAGCTCTTTACACTCATCCTGGTCTGCATAAAAGAAAAACAACAGAAAACATTATTTTTCAAAATCTCACAAAAAAAGGCTCTAAATTTAGCTTCATTGTGAGTCAGAAACAGATGCACACACCCCACACACATAGTTGTATTCCCCCTACTGCTCGTGCGCTCATAGTGTAATGTCTGCTCAACAGGAGTTGGCCAGGACGTCTGTGGTGTAGCTGTCCGAAGCAGGCAACAAAAATGGCCAAAAACAATATTTTCACAGTCACCAAAGAACTTGTGAAGGAGCTAAATGGAGACGTTCCAGAGGGAAAAATGCCTGCTGCTCACAATGGGGTCATTCATACTTCCCTCAAGGGAGTGGGAGGTCAGAGCTTCAGCCATACAAAACTCTCAGCCTGGGGATCATGGAGGAAAGCCTCTACGCCAATGTTGGGCACTTTCACAGGAATGGAGTCCTTATGTGCGATAGATAATCAATCTTAGCCAATGGCACTACGCTTAAGCCCAAATGTAGCATGACCATCAAACAGCTAACACTGACACACTGGTTTACACATTGAGAGGAAAGTTCAGGGAAGAGTTTGAGATCAGCAACCACTATGATGGGACCACTACAACTGGACATCAGCAGAGCTTCAGGTCAGCTTACCTTCACACTCAGCTGAGTCAGTGCTGAACTTGAAGCCGGCTTCACATAAGCATAAGAAAGAGCCAGCAGTGTTCAGACACTCTCCTTGAATGCACACATCCTCTCTGCTGCACTCATCCACATCTATGGTAGGAATAAAGAAAAGAGAAAGGAAAAATTACAATAGGTAATCCAATATACACTCTTATATTGGAGCGTATACTGGATTTCAGTGTTCATATATAAGCTAAACTGGACAAACAAATAGAAGCATTTAAAAAAGTTGTTTTTTTCAGTCTTTTATTTAAGGTAAAACTGTTTTTATCTTTTAACCTCTTTTAGCAGGTTTTATTCTCTTTCATTTCTAGCTGTCAGGACTACTACAATGCACTTCATTCCGGCATTAGCCAACAAGCACTTTCTCGTCTGCAGTTAGTCCAAAACGCAGCGACTCGTCTTTTAACAGGGATCAGAAGACATCAACACATTACACCAACTCCTGTATCTCTACACTGGCTCCCTGTTCGTTTTAGAGTTGATTTTATGATTTTATTGTTTGTGTTTAAAGCTTTGAATGGCATGGCTCCTCAATACATTACTGACCTCCTCCAGATTTACTGTCCGACACCTGCTCTAAGGTCTGTGGGCCATCTTCAGCTAATCTTCAGCTAATTGTGCCTAAGGTGTAAAACCTGCATTTGGCCCCAGACTTCGGAATACTTTGCCCCTCCATAAACTAACAGCCTCCACAGTGGAGTGTTTTAAGTCTAGTCTAAAGACCCACTTTCACTCTTTGGCATTTAACACTGTATAATTGTGTGGTCCTCTGTGTCTTATTTATGTATTTATTAATTTTCAACTCTTACTTCTTTTTTGGTTACATTCCTTCCTTTTTTGTTTTTTTTCTGTTTGTTTTTATGTACAGCGCATTGGAAAAATTCCTTGCTGTTAAATGTGCTACGGTATATAAATAAATTGATATATGCATTTTTTTTCAGTTAAAGATGATTATTTCAGCATTATTTCATATTCATTATTGGTGATTTATTTCAGCTATTCATCTTAAGGCTGGAATGATGCAATAATTAACCTCACTGAAGTTTAGAAACAAAGTAAGAAACCAGAAACACAATCCACATGTTGTAAATCATATATACACCGACTCTGACATTTGGTTAAATATCCTTCAGCGAGTGGCAAAGAAGTCAGAGACTTTTAAGCTATCAGCCAACTTCTGGATCAATTCTGGCCCGATATTTGAACAGTCCCCTTAGCAGAAGTGATAGTTCTAATTTAAAATGCCTGGTTTTATAGAAAATAGTTTTTTTAAGTTTAGTCCATGCATTTTTTACATTTAAGGTCAGGGCCATTCCAGATATTTAAAAAGGTGTAATGTCATCCAGATTTATTCATCAAAAAAAATCTGTGTTGATGTATGTTAAGGGTCATTGCCTTATTGGAACGTCCTTTTCCATCCAAGATTTAAACATGTCACCTAAACTCTCATCTTTCTATGAAATTATTTTTGTTTGAATGTTCATGAACAATGAACCGAGGCCACCGACGCTCAAACCAATAATAACCTGCCAGATGCCTTAATAGCAGCCTAAGTGTTCACTTTTAGTTTTCCACAGAGAAATGCTGCATTAAATTTGATGTCTTAAGAATAATCTAAATTTGCAGCTGAACACTAAAGCATTCAAATGCAATCTGGAGAGAAGATTAATGGTCAGACAAAAAAAAGTGGAGCTATTTGGATAACACAGAAAAGAATGAATAAATGTGTAAAAACTGTAAAACATCATGCCACATGGTCTAGGAAGCATTATTCTGAGGGTTAAGTCTCTTTAACTGCCTCCTACATATACACACACCCGGGAGAGTTTAAATGCATTAATAAATATGAGTTTCAAGCTGATGATGATTATAAGAAAACTTCTGATTTAATCTAAAGCCTCTGAGCCTGTAGAAATGAGAGGTGCATGCTTGATTAGGTATAATTGGAGTGTAATGACAATGATTAACATGGTAAAAACATGGTGTGATAGGAAAGAAATATGGAGAAATAATAATTATCGTATTTTTTTAAATCAGTAACAATCATATTATGCTTAAGGAAATAAAAAGGTAACAATTTAAAGCATAAAAATGTAAAACAGATCATTTAAGCCACCAGAAAAGAAATGCTTTAACTTGATGAATAAAGCTTTAACTCATGAATCTTTGAAAAGGGAGAGGTTTATGGTGCAACTTGCTAATCTGGATCAAGTTAAAAAGAGTTTCAGTCTTTTGTCAGTTTTTTATTATGCATTTTCCATTTTGGGAGCAAGCATCATCTTGGTATTACATGCCAAAGCCCATCTTTCATTCATATGACCTCACAAACCCTTGTCCTCCCCTCTTCCTCTCCCTCATGTCAGAGAGGTCTGGGTTTCATTGTGTCAGCACTGTACACACTGTGGCAGACTGCAAGAAAACATACGACACCCGCTGATTTATAGTATAATTAGGGCTCAGTATTTGCTGTGGCGGCAAGCCAAAGTACCTGACACAGCCTGGGCAATTTGCTCAAAGTGTTTGGATGATATCAAAAGTGCTGCATAACTAACACTTTGGTTGAAAGATGTCCACATTTTACGACTAACTATAGATCTCCACTGAAGTGAATCTTGGCAAGAATAATGCTGGACCTCGCCTGCATTTAAGGGAGTTACCTGCCTCAGCTCATGTCTGGATAATGCAAGGCTAGACAATCTCACATTTAGTTAACTCCACTTATTACTTGAAAACCCCACCAGAAACAACAATGATCCAATTCTCATACCCTGTCCTTTAATTTCACCTTTGTTCTTTTTTAGCGAAAAAAAAAAAAAAAATCCTCTTCTATTGACATTAAGGCTCAATTTGTTTCCTATCTGATAATGTGAGTTTGTGGTTGGAAAAACATCAAACTCATGTCTATGCTGGGACAGTTGATGGAAGATGTGGCTCATTACACTCAGCCTCAGGACTACTTGGTGAGAACAGCCTTTCTGCAGTAAATTAGAAACTACATGTAAGGCAGAAGGATGTAGTTTAAAAAGTATCTATACTTTATAACAATTTGTCATGAAACAATCACAGACTTAAATGCATTTAAGTGGAATTATATTTGCTAGAAAAACAAGATTGTCAATGTGAAGTAAAAGGAGGGTGAGTTTAATGAACTCTAATTAAAATTAAGTTATAGAGAAATATCCCCACATCATTATGTTGCCACCACTGTGTTTCAGTGTGTGTGTGTGTGTTTGTTTACTATGCATATGTTTTGATCTCCACTGACCAGAACACTTTATCGACACGTTTGTGTCACTTATGGGGCTGGTAATAAAACCACATCCAACCAAAACCAATTCTGCAATTCTTCCAAAATTCTCCTTTCTACTCCTCCAAATACCCCAGATTTGTGGAATACACAACTACCGTAGTAATCCTATGATTAGATTATTCCTCCTGAGCTGTGAATATTTACAGCACTTCCAGAGTTACATTTGGCTTTCTGGCTGCAGATGATGCATTGCTCAAAGCCCAGGAGATTCCTTTAAAAACTAATCTAAAGGCTTTACCTCTGACCTGTCGCTTGTGTTCATTGGACAACATGATGCCATTTTTGCTTATATTCCCAAATTTTTCTTTAAAAATAAGTATATTTATAATGAGATAAAATAATGCACAGGTGGACTTTATTATTACTAAACTCCTGAAGGGGGTGGGGTTCTTCAGATTTTATGCAGAAGTATTGGGGTAAAGGAGACCTGAAGCAAATCAAACATGTAGATTTCATTTGTTAAATATTTCAAAAACCATGCATCATTTTCATTCTAATTCACAATTTTGCACCATTATGAGTTGATCTCACACGTGGAATCCGAATAGAGTACATGGAGATTTGCGGTAGCTCAAAGTGTTTCCATACTTTTAAAAGGAAAAATGAGAACAGTGATTTAATCTCATAAAAGTGACTTAAAGGAGATTGCATCTATCGACTCATATTAAAGTTATGGTGGAGGATTTTTGTGAATTTTTGAAAAACACCAACCCACAAAAAAAAAAAAAAAATGCAAATACACAACCCTCTACCCACTCCCGAGAGGGAACGCCTATTAAGGGAGCACGCGAGAGCCGATGTCTACTCTTGCACGCTCTGTTTAAAAGTTGCCGTTGCATCACTCATACAAGCTTACTTTCAAAAAGAAGATGCAAGCTGTGCAATTTTTCCACTATGTCAGACTCACCACAGGTAAGTGAAAATGGGGACGAGCACGTAGGATGGCTATAAACATATCCCCAGAATGATTGACAATTAGGAGGACCACTTATTATGTGGAAAAAGAACACCCTCAACTATACCTTTAAAGTATACAACTGACTTACATAAATTTAACAAAAAAATTTGAATGATGATTTCCCATTACCCTGGCAGCCAGGGTGGCCCTCGGTGGGGATAAATCCATCAGGACACACACAACTGTAGGAGCCCTCCGTATTCAGACAGTTTCCTTCTCCACAGATCCTCGGCATGTTAAAACACTCGTTGATGTCTGTCACAAACAAGCACAAATAGACTCACACAGCTGTGTCAACATGCCAACATGTGGTAACCCATGAAAGCAGAAAACCGCTAATGGTATATGTCAAATTTATAAATACCTCTGCAAGTTGTCCCATCTACTAACTCCATTCCAGATGGGCATGAGCAGCTATAGGAGCCAATGGTGTTTGTACACTGGCCTCCCAGGCACAGACTGCCATCCTCACATTCATTCACATCTGCAGTTACACACACACACAGATGAGATCAATGCATCAGTTGTGTAAGTTCTGAATTATTTGGTCACACTAGAAATCCGCTTTCTCATGTAAGACGAAGAGCTTCCAGACCACAGCGAACAAATCATCCATCATGGCCTTCAACAGCGTCTTACCAGAGGAGGGCCATGCAGTGTTGGAACAGATGACTGTGAAAATGACTTCATGGAGATCATAAATTCTAGTGACCATAGCCAGACATCCCACTGTTTCGTACCTTCATGCGAGAGGCCGACAAATGCTGAGTTGAATCCAGTATCACCGGCCATGCAGGAGAAGGAGCCCTCTGTGTTCACGCAAACACCTGCGAGGCAAACACCTGGAACCTGGCACTCGTTGATGTCTTAGAGAAAGTAAGAGGAATAAAGGGTTACATAAAGCTTATCAGCAGAAAAATCACCAAAGAGTCTGGTTTTGTCTTATCTCCTTGAATAACTTTAATGGATAGGTGCGAGCCAGCTTGAAGTGCTTCCATACACTAAGCACAGTCTTCCTTATTAGGTTGCACTGACAAGCTTTATAGAAAAGAGTGGACAGATGAGAATGTGGGATGGTCATTAAATTTGCAATAGCATGTTATTAGGGGTGACACACAATTACCAAAAGCACAAAAAGACACTTGCTTGCTGATATGTGATCACTGGAAATTCCTTCAACAGAAACAGACTATATTTTTTTTTATTCTAGAAAGTATAAACCAAAGTAAAAAAGCATATATTGCTGACATTGTTGAGCCATAAAACCAATAAATATTGAAACTTGAAAAAGCCTAACCCCCTAAAAACTTGAAAAATGAAAAACGCCAGTGGTCAGTGCCAAGAGCCCCTAAGGGGCTGGGGATAAGTGTTGGGATGAGGAGTAGGGATTAAGCCAGTATGTGGTTAAGGACATGGAAGCTAGCTTAGCTTAGCCATATTGAGGCATGGAGAATTAGTATAGAGGGAGTCTGGTAGTTCATCATGTGGTCATCATCATCATCATTTCAAGCTGAAGATGCTGAGATGCTGGGGATGCAGCAGAGGATAGGATGACCCACTGCAGAGTTGTGTGTCTAAATTAGTTGTATTTTTTATTCTCACATGAAAACATGAGAAAATGAATATTCACATTAAAATAGCTCCCCATAAGTACCGATTTTACTGTTTAGTTACAAAATGGATCTTGGCCTAGTTTATCAAAAAATACATATGTTAGAGAACTATGTTGAACAGATGTTAAGTTACTTGTTGGGGACACAGAAAATGAAGGTTTGGTTTTGTCCACATCACATCTCCAATTTGATTGACAAATGGTAAATGGCATGTACTTATATAGCGCCTTTATTCAAGTCAGCAGACTTGACCAAAGCGCTTTACACTACATTCATTCACCCATTCACAGACACACTAACACACTGATGGTGGCAAGCTACATTGTAGCCACAGCTGCCCTGGTGCTCACTGACAGAAGCGGGGCTGCCATACACTGGCGCCACCGGGCCCTCTGACCACCATCAGAAGACAATGCAGGTGAAGTGTCTTGCCCAAGGACACAACGACACTGAAAGTCGGAGTCGGGGCTTCAACCGTCAATCATTCAATTTCAGGGCAAACTTCTACACCCAACGCCACTGTCGCCCCAACATAAGGAATGTGACCAAATGAAAGATGTCTTATTGTTTTTGTGGAGGACCAGACCCTGGAGACATCCAACTACAGTATGTAACCCTTCCCACCAGGGATCATCTTAGGATCTCTCTGAACAGACAGAAGGTTATATTTTGGGATATGGATGTGTTACTACTGGACCTGTTTTATTCCTTGAACTGCTCTTGGATAGTTGGAAGACAAGGACAATCACAGCATGTGTACCATGAACTTAAGGCCCTAACATAATGTTATAAGCAAATTTAAGTATCTCTAGAAAAGTCTAACAGCCACAAAACTGTATTGTAGTTTAATAGATAAAGTGTTTGGGGGAAGTGATTTAGTGGATTTAGGGCACATAGCTTGGAATCCTGAGGTTGTACGTTTGACACCCACCCCCATAGACTGCCACTCTGGCTCTCTGAGCAAGACCCTTAATGCCTGATTGCTCACTTGGTGCCAACTGCTCCCCAAAGGGAAGGGTTAAATGCTGAGATACATCTCTCCAAGGTGAGATCAAAAAAGTTCAATTATTGTTATGAATAAATACTTATTATGTGTTTGAAAGTAAAAAATGCAAAACCATTCCTGGGGATACCTTGTTTCCTGCAGACATTTCAGTAGTAATTCTAGTTGGAAATCACACATTTTCAAGATGGATGCTGCTACAAACCCTAATGTTTCAAATTAGAGCCTTTGCCTTAAATAGTTATTCAACACTGTCTTCCAGTTACAGGTAGACTGAGCTTGCCACAGAGGACTTTTAATCCCTCTGCAGGATGTTGGCTTATTTGGCCTTCAAGCTAGAGCACTCAGACATTGTAAAACAAATATGCATTTTTAAACTCAAACTTCAGTTGAAAGACTTTACTACATGTGCCTTTGTCATAGGTGGAACTTTTTTTATGCACAGACAACCAATTTCACCTTTTTACATTTAAAATTTCTAATTTTTATCCCAGAAAACACAAACAACAATCTTAAGCTGAAAAGAAAAAAAAAAGTAAAAATGAAATCATGTGTCCTTTGTGTCATTGAGATAGCTGTGTTTGCCTTCATCAGGACAAACTTGCCTTAGAGCACTGTAATAACAGGGAAGGCGGTGGAATTCATTTCACATTAAACCCTTATTATTTTCCATGGCACCAGATACATCCATTAAAATCACATAAAAGACTGACTTGGACTTGTTTTGTGAAAATCATTTCCCTTTGCAAAGGCATGTATTAGTGGGGGATCTTCCTCTCAGGCTAGATCCACACTCTGGTATAAATGACAAACTGCATGTTTGAACCTCTTTCATGTAATCATTGCTTTCTTTTCTTCCAATGAAGTCATGACATATCTATGCTCATGGGATTTGTCAGAGCTGCCATTGCACTGCATTGATCTAACAAATTATGTCAAGAAGGACTTAAAAATGACTGTAAATATCTTTGCCAATATTTCCTATGATGACTGGAGCCTGATTACAGGTATGTTGATTGTTTTTTTTTACCTTCACAGGTGTGACTGTCCTCAGACAGTTGGAAACCAGTTCCACAGCTCCTGCAGGTGTAAAATCCTGGGGTGTTAATGCACATCTGGCCGGGACACAAGTTACCCATTGCGCACTCATCCACATCTGGAAACAAATGCACATCATAGCAGAAAATCACCATCACTGGATTCCAATAAATAAATACTGCCAGTTGCAATCAATTAGAAAATGGTCTTATGGGCTGCACTATCTACAGGATAGTTGCCTGACATCATCCTGTTCTATTTGAGGTTTAGTGTCTCACTGGAGTGAGCACAGATCAGAGAAGTGATGCCAAATGATGGAATACTCCAGGATCCAGCTATGATGTTATGTCTGAGAGGTATTGGTTTAGTATGAAGGTATTTTGGCTCCCAGCTGTCACACCTGATGCTCTGTAAACACAACCTAGAACAGCACTGAAAATTACATATGAAGCTTGGCGTACTCCTACTTTCCTGAAGCTCATCTGGCTCAACTGGAGGCATGTTTGAATAAAAGCACTGGCAGTAAACACTACAAAACTTCAGCTCTACCTTCACACTCTTGTCCATCAGCAGAAAGTGTAAAACCAGGCTGACAGGTGACACACGTGAACGAACCCTCTGTGTTGGTACATTTTCCCTGAGGACATGTAGTTGGAAATGCACACTCATCGATATCTGTTGTGAGACAATGCACATATTAAAAAGCTCAAACACACAGAAGCCATGTTTATACTTTTTAAAAATGCATTTTCAATTAAAAGAAAAGGCCACATATGGACAGTAAAAGACTGGATAAATAGTCCAGAACTAAGCAGGACAAAAGCTCTAAGCACACAGCCAGAGCTGCACTAGAAGAGTTGAAAAAAACCTTTAATAGCACATAATATTTTTATGTGGATGTCACTAACTGGAACTCAATACAAAAAGGATTAGAACCAAAAAGTTATATCAGAGCATATTGACAACATTTGGTAGGATGCAAGAATTTATTGTACAAACTCTTTACGTTGAAACTTGCTGAGCTCAGGTTAGTTTGCTAATAAAACAGGTGTTCAAACCTCTTAACCTCAAGACTTCTGCAGAGAATTTACTGTATGTTTTATTTTTATTGGTAAAAGATATAAAAATGCATGCAAGTTTGACCTCCACTTAACAACTGTACTTTGTATTGATCTAGCACATAAAAATCCGGATAATACACAAGAGTTAGTGGTTGAAATATGAAAAAGAATGTTAACTTCTTTAAGGCGTGTGAAAATTTTGTTCAGGAAAAATGATACCTATTTAATCATAAATGAATCTACGCTTTTTTCCCATCAAAATCAGATTTGTAATCAAGCAGTTAGTAAATGTTACACAGAAGTCTTATTACAGGCTATCATTTTTAACTAGAAGTGCTAAATAAACCAACCTTGACAGAGTTCCCCATCAAAAGACACTTGATACCCTGCAGGGCAGTTCTCACATCTATAAGACCCCTCTGAGTTTAGACAGATCCCGTTGGAACAGGTAGACCGTGACTGGCACTCATCAATATCTAAGGAAGACCGACACATAGACACACACATGCCTTTTTATTTATACTGAATACAATCTGGAGAGAAACCCATTTCATGGGAAAGAAAATTTCCCTGAGTGGAGAGATGTGCTGGGAAACTCTTTAACAACAGTAATGGTTTTACAGAAAGAACTGCTGGAGAATGAATGTACCGTCACATCTCTGCCCGTCCTCAGACACGGTATAGCCAGCTTGGCATCGGGTACAGATGAACGATCCCTCTGTGTTAGCACACTCCCCTTTAAAGCAAAGGTCTCCCTGTGCACACTCATTGATATCTGGAAACAGAAAGGACAAATTCCCCACAAGTAGGTGAAGGTATTATCAACTTACAGCAGTGTTTGAGCAACACATCAGATTAGTGCAAATCATTACAAAGATCTTTTCTTACCTTCACACTTCAGCCCATCAGAGGATGGTCTAAACCCAGGCCCGCAGTTCTGGCAAATATAGGACCCTGCTGTATTGATGCAAATCCCCTCTGGGCACGCTGTACCAGATGTACACTCATTGAGGTCTAGAAAGAATTATGTGAAGTATATTGTGAAGACATGATGTTACTGCTTGAACACCTTCGTTAGCAAATGGTTATTCGCAGATGAGTTATACTCATGATTTCTAACAGACCTTCACAGGATTTCCTGTCTGAGGAGACTTGGTAGCCAATGTTACAGGTGCACTCATGGGTGCTGTCCAAATTGACACAGCGGCCGTTCATACAGACTCCCAGTAGCCCACATTCATCCACATCTGGAAAAATGATACAGGATAAAGAAATAAGGATTTCTTTTTAAATGGCCGCAAACACTTCTGTGGCAATTTTATAAGCCCATAGAGGTTCCTAAAGGTTTCTGTAGCAGCAGAACTGTCACAAAGCTCCTGCTAAGTTATGCTGCATGAATACCCTCTGACTGACAGGTACCTTGACAAACATTTTCTGGCGAGAGCGTGTAGCCGTAGAAACAGTTGCATATATAGGATCCCTCTGTGTTGACACATCGGCCGCGACCGCATATGGTTTGGTTCAGGCATTCATTGACATCTGAGAAGAAAGAACGGCATATATTAAATGAACGGGAACAGGTTCACAACACAATATGCTTTAAGTGAAAATGAAAATACAATCATACAAGCACATACTGATTTTTCATCTGTTTCAAAAGCATTAGGAGTGATTCAATGACTCTTTAGGAGGCCACCAAGCCCAAGAAAAAAGCATCTGAGCCACTAGAGGCATCCCTTTCGGACCTGTTCCCAGTGCATGCTGTACTCCAAGAGGGCTGCCCTCTGTCACAGGTTCTGTTCATAACCTTTATAGACAAGATCTTTAGGCACAGCCAAGGGCCGGAGGGGGTATGCTTTGGGAACCAGCGGATCTAGTCACTGCTTTTTGTGGATGACGTGGTTCTGTTGGCTCCCTCTTGCCAAGACCTACAGCATGCACTGGGGCTGTTGGCAGCGTCCGGGGTGAAAATCAGCTCTCCCGACTTGGAGGCCAGGTTTCTTGACCGGAAATAGGTGGCAAGTTCCCTTCAGGTTTGAGGAGATTTCATGCCTTAAGTGAAGGGGTTCTCCCCTCACTTGTGAGGGTGCAGGAGAACAATAGATGGATCGCTGCGGCTGTTGCTATCGGTCTATGATGGTCAAGTGAGCTGGATTAAAAGGCAAAGCTCACAATTTACTGGTCGGTGCACGTTCCCACCCTCACCTATTGTCATGAAATGTAGATCATTACAGAAAGAACAAGATCCCAGATACAAGGAGCCGAAATGAGCTTACTCCGATGGGTGGCTGGGCACTCCCTTAGAGATAGGGTGGGGAGCTTGGTTATCCAGGCGAGGCTCGGAGTAGAGCCGCTTCTACTCCACATCAATAGGAGTCATATAATGTGGCTCGGTTATCTTTTTTCAAATGCCCCCTAGGCACCTCCTTTGGGAGGTGTTCCAGGCATGTCCCTCTGGGACAACACCCAGGGAATGACCCAGGACTCGCTGGAGGGACAATGTCTCTAGGCTGGCCTGGGAGCACCTTGGTGTCTGGGGAGAGGAAAGTCTGGGAGTTTCTGATGTGACTGCTGCCTCCATGACCCAGTCCCAATGAGGCAATGACTTTGAGTAGGGAAATGTATTAAGTGTTATTATTTGCATTTTCTTTTGGATAAGATAATGCTTTATGGTAAGAGAGACACAACAAGGTGTTCAAAGGAAACAGAATTTTTTTTTCTCTCCAAAAACAGAGAAGGAAGGATGTTCCTGAAATGGGATACAGAAATGCAGAAAAAACTATGTAAAAGAGTCACAAAGTTGCTATTGTTGTTCCAGCCACAGGCAGTGCCAGACATCCATCAGTGTGGTCCAGCACTTTTTCTATAATAATCCAGCATCACTCAGGCCTCACCGATAAGCCCTGACAAGAGAACAGATCTGTTTTCCATATCGCACCAACCATTAGGCTTATCCTCGATTTGGCCAATTGGGCCTAAACAGCTGCACTACTCTGCTGTCAATTGACTGAAACAAATACTTGAAACCAAAAATCTGAGGCTGCCTGTCTTATGTGACCCCCGGAGTGTTAAACATAAACTGTAAACCCTGGTTTTACCTTATTTGTAAATGTTCAGTTAAAAGGTCTGCAGTTAATCCTCATTTACAGATATTACACTGTTTAATTCTGGTTTTACATTTTGCTTCCTGTTTGGATTAACTGAGTGTGCAACTGAGTGTGCAGCTGTTCAGAGGATCTCCATCTGAAGTTAAGTTATTTTCTCTGTGATATCTCTGTATCTAAGTAACTCTAACTGACTACTTTAAAACATAGCACCTTCTGCTGCACTTTTCTACTGAGCACTTGTCAGTTTCACACGGTTTTATTTCTGATAGCAAGAAGTAGCTAGCCTAGGCTAGCGCTAGCTTAGCATTGCTATGGCTTCTCTCTCTCCCTCCCTTGACTCTTTTCCAACTCTTCCTTCTTCCTCTCCTCTCTCCTGCTCTCTGTGTCAGATGTTCAGTTATTCCTCTGCCTCCTTTAGTGATAATGGGATGTGTAATAAGTGTAGTATTTTTGTAGCTTTGGAGGCGAGGGTGTCAGAGTTAGAATCCAGGCTTCAGGCTGTTGAAGTAGGCCCCCCACGTAGCTGTCCTCCAAAAGTGCCTGAGCAGCCAGGCGATTGGGTAACTGTACGCAGAAAGCGTAGTCGTGGATCTCTGCCCACTGGTCACCACCAACCCGTTCACGTTTCTAACCGGTTTTCCCCACTCAGTGACACACCCACTGAGAAGCCCACTCTGGTGATTGGCAGCTCCATAGTCAGAAACGTGGCATTAGAGACACTAGGGACCATAGTCAAATGTTTGCCGGGGGCCAGAACGGGCGACATCAAATCCTACCTGAAACTACTGGCTAAGGATAAGGTTAAATACAGTAAGATTGTTATTCACGCTGGTGGTAATGACACCCGGTTACGCCGATCGGAGGTCACTAAAATTAGTGTTGCTTCGGTGTGTAAGTTTGCCAAAAAAATGTCGGACTCCGTAATTTTCTCTGGTCCCCTCCCTGATCTGACCAGTGATGACATGTTTAGCCGCATGTCGTCATTCAATCGCTGGTTGTCTAGGTGGTGCCCTGAAAACAACGTGGGCTACATTAATAATTGGCAATCCTTTTGGGGAAAGCCTGGTCTGATTCGGAGAGACGGCATCCATCCCACTTTGGATGGTGCAGCTCTTCTTTCTAGGAATCTGGCCACATTTATTAGTCCTCCAAAACCCTGACCACCCAGGGTGCAGACCAGGAAGCAGAGTTGTAGTTTAACACACATCTCTGCAGCTTCTCTACTGTTACCCACTCTTTACTCCATCCAGACAGTGTCTTGCCCACGACCAAAATCTAATAAATTAGCAAAGATTCCCAAAGGAGTAAATCATGATAATCTAATTAAAATCAAAATAACTCCAATTGGGGAAAAAGTTAAAACAATTAAATGCGGTCTGTTTAACATAAGATCGCTTTCCTCTAAAAGTCTACTAGTTAATGACTTGATTTGTGATAATCACATTGACTTGTTTTGCCTTACAGAAACCTGGCTGCAGCAAGAGGATTATGTGAGCATAAATGAGGCAACTCCTTCAAGCTATTTAAATTTTCACATCCCCAGAAGTTCTGGGCGAGGAGGAGGAGTAGCAACAATCTTCGAGTCTGACTTACTGATTACTCCCAAAACAATTAATTCCTACAACTCTTTTGAACATTTAACCCTTAATTTCCCTGATCCAAATTTCAAGGCAAGAAAACCTCTTCTTTTTGTAACTTTGTATCGTCCACCAGGTCCTTACTCTGAATTTTTAGATGAGTTTTCAGAGTTCCTTTCTGATTTGGTATTAAATACTGACAGGGTCATCATAGTGGGAGATTTTAACATCCATGCTGACATTGAAGGCGATAGCTTAAGAGCAGCCTTTAATGCTATCTTAGACACTATTGGCTTTGTTCAAAATGTGAATAGTCCCACGCATTCTCATCTTCATACTTTGGATCTTGTGCTGACATACGGCATAGAATGTGAAGAAATAACAGTATTTCCTCACAACCCTGTCCTCTCTGACCACTTTCTAATAACCTTCAGGATTACTTTAACAGAGTTCTCCTCCCCCAAAAGAAGGTTCAATTTTAGTAGATCTTTATCAGATAGTGCAGTTATAAATTTTAAAGAATCTGCTTCACTTTCTCTCTGCTCTGTGTCACTGAGCAGTGCTGCAGAGTGCAAAAGCTTAGCTTATTCCCCTTCACAGGTTGATGATTTTGTTGAGGGGGTTGCTAGTTCTCTGCGTATTGCCTTAGACAACGCAGCTCCTTTGAAAATGAAAACCGTTAAAAATAGAAAGCTTGCTCCTTGGTTTAATGCAGAGCTGCGTACTTTGAAGCAAAATGCTAGGAAACTGGAGAGAAAATATCGCTCCACAGGCCTGCGAGAGTCCTTCCTAGTCTGGAAAAATGGTTTACTGCTGTATAAGAGGACCCTTTGTAAAGCAAGAGCAGCATACTTCTCCTCATTAATAGAGGAGAATAAGAATAATCCTAGATTTCTTTTTAATACAGTTGCCAAACTCACCCAGAGCCATAGCTCTGTTGAACCGTCCATTCCACCTGCTCTTAGCAGCAATGATTTTATGGGATTCTTTATAAATAAGATTGATCTTATTAAAAATAAGATCATAAGCACTCCTCTATCCGCGATTGTACCTGAGGTAGTCATGGAATCTGAACCGGGTTTAGACTGCTTTGATCCAGTTGAACTCTCTGAATTAGCAAAATTATTGTCTTCATCTAAGCCTTCAACTTGTATGTTAGATCCAGTTCCAACCAGGTTATTTAAGGAGGTATTCCCTTTGATCTCCTCCTCCATTTTAGATGTGATTAATCTATCTCTGTTACAGGGATATGTACCTAAAGCTTTTAAGATTGCTGTAATTAAACCTCTGCTTAAGAAACCGTCTCTTGACCCAGATGACTTGGTCATTTATAGACCTATATCCAATCTTCCTTTCTTATCCAAAATTCTTGAGAAAGTAGTTGCCAAACAAGTTTGCGATCACTTCCACCATAATGAACTTTTTGAAGAGTTTCAGTCTGGCTTTAGAGCTCATCATAGCACTGAAACAGCTCTGGTGAAAGTCACTAATGATATTCTCATGGCCTCAGATAATGGACTTGTATCTGTGCTCGTCCTGTTGGATCTTAGTGCTGCATTTGATACAGTTGACCATAATATTCTTTTAGAAAGGCTTGAATATTTTGTTGGAATTAAAGGAACAGCACTAGACTGGTTTAAATCTTATCTATCTGATCGAATTCAGTTTGTTCATGTTAATGATAGATCTTCAACACGCTCAAAGGTTACCTGTGGAGTACCACAGGGATCAGTGCTAGGACCAATTCTCTTTACTTTATAAATGCTCCCAATTGGTAGAATTATTAGACAGCATGGGATTAATTTCCACTGTTATGCTGATGATACCCAGCTATATCTGTCTATAAATCCAGATGAAGCTAACCCATTACATAGATTACAGGCATGTCTTGAAGACATAAAAACCTGGATGACTCTTAATTTTCTGCTTCTGAATGCAGACAAAACAGAAGTTATAGTCTTTGGACCAGAGTCTCTGAAAAAGAAACTGATTAGCCAGTCACTTCATTTGGATGGGATTAAACTGATTTCAGATAATAAAGTAAAAAATCTTGGTGTTATTTTTGATCAGGACCTGTCATTTAAATCCCATATCAAAGAGGTTTCTAGAATTTCCTTCTTTCATCTGAGGAACATTGCAAAAATTAGAAATATCCTGTCCAGGGGTGATGCTGAGAAACTAGTCCATGCATTTGTTACTTCAAGGCTGGACTATTGTAATTCTTTACTATCAGGAAGTCCACAAACTGTAGTTAAAAGCCTTCAGCTGATCCAAAATGCTGCAGCCAGAGTTCTAATGAAAATGAAAAAGAGAGATCATATCTCTCCTATCCTGGCTTCTCTTCATTGGCTTCCTGTTAAATCAAGAATAGAATTTAAAATCCTCCTTCTCACATATAAAGCCTTAAATGGCCAAGCTCCATCTTATATCAGAGATCTGATTGTTCCTTATGTTCCTAACAGAGCACTTCGCTCTCAATCTGCAGGTTTACTAGTGGTTCCTAGAATTTCTAAAAGTAGAATGGGAGGCAGATCTTTTAGTTATCAGGCTCCTCTCCTGTGGAACCAACTACCAGTTTTAGTCCGTGAGGCAGACACCCTGTCTACTTTTAAGGCTAGGCTTAAAACTTTCATTTTTGATAAAGCTTATAGTTAGGGTGGCTCAGGTTATCCTGAGCTATCTCTATAGTTATGCTGCTATAGGCTTAGACTTTTGGAGGACATAGGGACCCCCATTTCATCATTCTGCTTCATTCTCTCTCTGTTCTCCTATTCTGCAGAATCTGTTAGTTCAATCTCTAACCTTCTGCTCTCTCTGCTTTTCCTCAGAGTAGCTTTGCCTCGTCTGTTCCTGTTTGGCTGTGACGTCATCCTGGAAAAAAACATCAGCTGTGCTGCTTCTATCAACACCCTTGTTAATAGATGTTGGAGATCGGCCTGTTTTCCAGTGTGGTCCTGTTTCTCTGACCGTGACTGAGTGGATGTGCTCTCTTCGTCCTCTGGCATGGGAGCTGCCTTGGAGCTCGTCTGCCTGGCTGTGTGTTTCCTGGACGGGGCCGCCTTTTACAGCTGCTTTTTGTATCTCTGCTTCTGTCTCCTTGAACCCCAGTCGGCCTCGGCAGATGGCCGCTCACACTGAGCCTGGTTCTGCTGGAGGTTTCTTCCTGTTAAAAGGGAGTTTTTCCTCTCCACTGTCGCTACAAGCATGCTTAGTGTGGGGGATTGTATTTGAGTCAATGAGTCAATGCAATCAACTGGTTTTCCTTAGATAGAAAACTTTGTATCAAATTTACTGTATTATTGGTTGAAAATGAAAGGCCTTGAATTTAATTGTTGGAATTTGGCGCTATATAAATAAACTGAATTGAATTGAATTGCTATATAACAGCTGCAAACTATGTTAAAGCCTGAAAATTTTTTTTAAGAGTATTTGCAAACACAAAGCATCATAAAGATCACTGCATATAAGTTTGGACTAACATCAATAGAGTACTTGCAAGGTTTGCTTACATAACTGCAGATTCAGCAAGACAATGCCATAAACAAAGTGGCCAAAGAGTCCAACTTATCTTTGGAGGAGCTGCAGAGATCCAAAGCTCTGGTAGAAGAGCAGTCTTAAAACAACAACCCTAAAAACACACTTTTCATTTTTTTTTTTTTTTTTTTTTTTTTTTTTTTTTTTTTTTTTTTTAATTATAATATTTTCCTATATTTTTTTTTTTTTTTTTTTTTTTAAATCGGGGCAATGGGTGTTTGGGTTTTAAAATTTAATTGTGGCTAGTAAAAAAAAAGCTGAACGGAACGGGGTTGGGGTTTGGGGGGGGAAAAGGTGGGTTTGGGGGGGTTAAAATTTTAGGGGTTTGGTAATAATGATTTGGGGTGAGGTGTTAAGAAGGTAAAGGTTTGGGGAAAAGGGCTCCGGGGGCCGGAGTAAACCTCAAAACCAGAAAAAAATCAAATACCCAAAATGGTTAAAATGAAAAATTAAAATAAAAAAAAAAGAAAAAAAGTGGGGGGAAAAATTTTGACCCCCCCCCCCCCCCCCCCCCCCCCCCCCCCCCCAATACTGAAAAGATTTGGGTAATTGAAAAATTTTTTGTATTAAAAAATAAAATTTAAAAAAAAACACCCAATTTTGTTTTTCAAAAGGGCTGCTTTTTTTAAAAGACTGAAAAATGTTTGAAAAAACTGCAACAGTGTTATAACTTTTTTTAAAAAACCTCAAAGGGGCGCTTTCAAAAAATGTGGCTTCCAGGTTAAAGGAAACCCCCAAATTTTTGGCCATTTACTGCACGTCCCGGGGAATTAAACATTTCTCCTTTCATGTTTTGGGATCTTGGAATTACTTGTCAGACAAGGACACATTATTCCCCTCTAGATTAATAGATCAGAGAACCAAAAGTATGTCCGATCAGGTCAATGTCATAAATATTTTGTCACCTAACAACAACTTTTACTTCAGTTAGCTGTTGTGCTTAAGGGGAGCTCAGACTGCTCTAAAGTAGTGGTCTAGGTCACAAGCCTCATTCAGTGACGGATCTCTAAAGTTATTTAAGCAAGTTTCAGAGCAGAGCAGCCCGCATGTAGCATTGATACATTCCAAGTGCTTTATATCAACCCCCAAAATAATCAAATATATATCAAATTAAGCTAATACTTGGGTCAAAAGTTACACAGTGTGGCTTTAAGTGCAAAAATAAGCATCACCAACTGAGAAAATTCATAATAAAAAATTCAAAAAGCTCCTCTAAGATTATTCATAATATTTTCCGTTAGTCATGTGCACATTTCTGGAATAGATGGGGAGCTTGGATTTCCAAACAAATTAGAGGTGTGGAAGGTCATCAGGAGGGGAATGGATATGTAACGCCAGTAGGGATGTTATGTAAGAGGGCTACTTTCAGGTTGGAAGCTTGTGTTAGTTTAAAGACTGTGTTAGTTTTAAGAAAACGCTCCCTATGTGTACCGTAGCGACCATTTCTAATCAGTGATAGGAGCCTTAAACCACATTGCAGACAGCATCATGAGTGAGAGGGAAAGTTTATTTATGTGCCATGACCTCCTTGCAGTAGGGAACCAACCTTTTGGCCCACTCGTACATCTCCTGTGACTGCTTGCTTCTCTCACCTACCCCGACGGCCGTAATAAAGCACGGCTTGCCTCTGCTGGGCTTCACATTTACACTGGTCAGAGCTTTCCAACAATAATACGCTGTTTATTTAAGGTTTGAGCCAAGAGAAAAATATTTGGACTCTCCCAAATTGAAGTATTATAAACAATCTTTTTAAGGAACCGCTGATATGAAAAGATCAGCAATAACACACAGAATGAGGTTAAACAATAACAGGAATATGCAGCAGCAGGGAGGATACATGGAATCACTAAAGGAGCAAAGAAAGTGGGGGGCCATCGGATATAACCATCATTAGCTATGATTTTATGCTGTAATGTGAGCTTAGGAATGTTCCACATAGGACCTAAAATATCCAATATAAACGCAGCTGAAGCAAAAGATTTCATTTTATTTCTTATTTTTATGCACACCAGTAGAGAGAAACCCTTTGAGCATTAGGCCATTAGGCTGCAAATTCAATTCAGCTAATGCTACTTGGTCAACTGCACTGCATCACAGGCAGCTGACTGTTCTCTAAGTTGTTTTATTCACCTCATCAATGCCAACAAAGAAAAGGAGTTACGTCACCATAAACTATCAAAAAAAGGCATTACGACACCAGAGGGAAACCCAGCTTAATTCCACAAATCAGCTTGAAATGTCCTGGGGTCCCTGTATAAGGGGGTTTGGTAGTGGTCCTGCTGTTTTGATGGGGTGTTAGGTTGCCTTACCCACACATCTCCCACCGATGGGCCTGAAGCCCAGGCCGCAGACCTGGCACTGGAAGGAGCCAGGAGTGTTGACGCAGATTCCATTGGGACAGGAGCTTGGATCTCTGCATTCATCTATATCTGCTCAGGGAAAAAATTAAAACATTATTTTATTTAGCTGTTACTAAAACAAGCTTCCTTAAACAATGCATGTATCAATGGAAGAAAGTGACTCAGAGATGGAGGGAGCTGAATGGTTCTCTGGGCTTTGAGCAGAAGAAAATACAATGCATGTTTTAAAAAAAAAACCCAAAATAAATGGTTATTTTGATGCCTGAACTCAACTCTGTGTGTATGATTTTGTGCTGATTCAATCAAATTACCTTCGCATAGGTCCCTCCATGACTTGGCGTAGCCGCTGTTGCACTCGCAGGTATAAGATCCTTCAGTGTTGATGCACTGGCCGTTCTGGCACTTCTTGGCCATGCTGCACTCGTTGATGTCTGACAAAACAAAGGGAAAAGAAAGTCATTGTTTTTTCATTATTTTTCAAATAAACAACACAACAAATAGAAAATGTGATGTACTTAAAAAAAAAAAGAGACTTGAGGATGACTAAAAAACATGACATGCCCTTCTGAAAACTGCCCTGTGTCTCACCTTGACAGAACTTCCTGTTCTGGGTTATCACCTGGCTGTAGCCGCTGTAGCACTGACACGTGTAGGAACCATAGCTGTTTATACAGCGGCCTTTCCCCTCGCACGGGTCCATTTCACACTCATTTACATCTACAAAGGGAAGAAGCAAAAGGCTTAAATTGTGGCAGTATCTGCCAAATAAAGCAAGGGCTTCAGTCAAGGCTTCAGTGAGACGTTTTCACATATCCAGGGTTGCTCGTTTGGCTGTTGTCAGGAATCATGAAACAGGATAAACCAAAATGCTGGGGAGGATTCTCAGTCATCCAGGTCACAGTAATTCCAAAAAAGTTGAAAAACAAACCACTGGACTTTGTTTTTCAAGTTTTAAGGCGTTTTGCTTCCCATCCAGAAAGCTTTCTCAATTCAAAGTCTGAAGTAGCGTTTGAGTTAAACCAAAGGATCCCTTTCAGTTTTGCTTTGCTTAAATTTTCTATACTTCTATGCTGTGTCACAACTAGACAAAGCCTTTATACAGATCAGCATCATAACTTTGATTGTGTCCATCCATAGATAAACTGAAAACTTTAGTTACTTTAGTAGTTTGATTAAAACTATAACCTTGTGAATCATTTAGATTTATTACAGTAAGAGAAATGTATTTAATATATTCCATTCTCATGATTTTGGGAGCCAAAATTGAAATTCGATTACTCAAAAGAAAATGCAATTTTAACATAGATGTGAAGGCCAAAACAATCAGAGAAAAGACTGCTGATTTCAGAGTAGTATAGTACTGGAACCCTCCACATACAGGAAAAGCCAACAAAGGTCGTTTCTTAACAAGGTTCTTCACACAGTGCTGAAAACTATGAGTAGAAAGGAAAATCAGTTATCGACTGCAGCTGGGGTCAAAGCTTTAAAGGTAGCCACACACAGATGAGTTACTTCTTCATCAGAGAAAATTCATGATATACCTTCCTCTGATTAAGGAGAAACCAGAGCAAGACTGTTAGTATTATTTAGTTATGTAAAGTTTTTTATTAAATGTTGGAAAAGCAAAAAAATAAAAAATAGTCAAGGTCCAGTGAGTTTTTTTAGTCAATGATGATAAAGGGGGATATTTGACCTCCCCTATTGGTTCACCATATTTCATTGAGTCCAAAATATGAGCAGCCATGGACCAAGAAGTTTTATTGCACTTAATGCTCTCTGGAGCTGCCAAGCTTTACTAAGAGGCCGATTTCATTCTTCAGCAGGATTTGGCAAAGAAAGTCAAAAGTATGAATAATTGGTTTAATGTGTTGATAAGTCAACAAACCTGCTTGACGAAATTTCAGAGAAACTGGAATTTGAGTTTTTTTACTTAAGACATAATGATCAAGAATAACAGAAATAAACTGTTGAACTACAAATCAATTAATAAATCACAAAATCGTTAAAAACTTGGTTTATTTAAAATAATCATTTATATAAGTGGAACTGAGCAAGACTAATCACAGTTGCTCAACTCGGGGTGGCTGTGACACATTGAGTAGTCATCTTCTAATCCAAAACTTGAGAGTTAAATTCCAGCTTTCTCCTACCATGTGCCAAAGCCATTATTTGCAAGCCAATGTACAGTACATTGTTGTATGTACTGTATGTGAGTGCATGTATATGAGCAAGGTTGGATGAATGTGGCTCTAATACAGAGTACTTTGAGTGGTGACTATATCGGTCATGGCTATAGAGATTCAGTCCAATTACATCATATACACATTATACCCAGTCTGGTGTTTTCAGATGTCTTAATTTTTAATAAAATACAATGATTATTTGCTTAAAGCAAATAAAAAAAAAATTGAGATTAGAAAATTACAGACCAATCAGACCAATAATAAATTATTTTTAATACAGAAATTTGATCTATATGGAAAGTAGGTATATCACCTACTTAAAAGTTGTTACAAAATTTACTTTTAATCTGGCAAAAGAGCCCCATCATAATATATATTATTTAACATGATATGATAATAATTTCCATATATATCCAAATATTCTGATCTATAGATATGAACCTATGTCTCCTCCTTTCTTTGTTACTCACCAATGCAACTGTTCTGCAGTGAATTGAGCTTGAATCCTGCCTCACAGTCGCAAGTGTATCCAGACTGCACAGGAACACATTTTCCTTGGCCACATATACTTGGAGAAGTAGTACATTTGTTAATGCCTATGAAAGAGGAAAAAGATGTGCATGGTCATTACCCAAAAAAGGACAATAACATTTCTGACCCGACATTAAAGGGGCCGTAAAACATTAAAAAGAGCATTCCTGAAACACATGGAGCTCTGTGGGTAACAGTTTTGCTAGTTTATAGGTGGAGACTTGGTCTGGTTTAACAACAGTGTAGAGGTCTAACAGGTGGTTACAAAGATTAATAGCAAAAAAAAAAGGGGTCAAGCACCACCAAGCCTGACATTAGCTTCGATCCTGCCTTCTAACTAAAAGGGGTGAGATAAAACAAAGACATGAGTTGATTCTTAACAGATGAGAAAAGCTCTATCTCTCAATGACATCTGTAATTCTCTTCACTCCTTTAATCGGTCTGTTAATCATAATTTAAAAGTTCTTCCCTTTTTTCTTTTCACTTATTTCACTCTTTTTTTTTTTTTTTTTTACATTTGACCTTTGTTCACTCATGATGACAAACCCATCCTAGAGGCACAATCACCCTTGGTTTCCTCCTTCCCTATGAGAAGCACATAAGCTCAAAGCCAATTTGGCTCTGAACTACGGGTCAAATAAAGCTCTCTCCAGCTTTACTTTGGATAAGCTTACAAAAATGCCTTATAAGAGGTCCCACTGTCTGCCAGCTGTTGACAGAAAACATAAAAAATGAAGAATCGGGCTTCTTTTTTAAATGGTAGCGCTACAGCCCTCCTCCCATCAACTAATTTAGATTTAAGATGTATGTACCGTTATGACATAGCTTATTTTCTTTACTGCTTTCTTTTTTTCTTACCAGTGACGGAAACCCGGGGGCTTGTTTCTTTTAAACCTGGTCTCAAGTTGAAGCCAAGGGAGTCTGGAGAGGTCTCTACAAAAAGGAACGAGGAAGGTCTTAAAATACTTGTTTATAAATGAGCAAAAATAAAAAAAATATTCTGGCTACTACTATATAATTAATGTACAAACCTTATACTTAGGTAACCTACAGTTCATACATAATTCAAGGCCGTTTTTGCATCACAGGATAAATGAAAGAGTTAATATTTTAATTAAAAAGGGCTTACTGATGAAGTACTAAATGAGGCTGATTTCCCCCAAAAGAATTTCTGAAGCTTTGGCTTTTATTAGATACTCCATTATAAGATGTCTGTGACTTGAAATGTCAAATTTAAATGAAGATTGTAAAGAAGTATGTAGCAATTCCTAAAATATATCTAATCATCTGCACAAAAACTTTGTATTGTTCAATCAACTGAAATTAATCAAAAGCTTGGATGTTGAAATGAAAGAGATATAAAGATAAAAATATTTCAATAAAGATGTGTATCAAAGACTATTACACCCTCAACTCCTAATACTTGTTTAGTTAATGGTTTAAATTATTTCAAATTTTACAGAATGGGACTGAACTGGCTCCTGTAGCATGCTGCTTTTCGCATGACCTCGTGCACATGCTGTGCTAAAATAGTCAATGTTGCCAAGCACAGCTTAAACTCTAGCTGTAAAATGTTTACAAGGTTTAAAGCAAAGTATTAAGTTTGTGATGCAGGAATACAACTATTTTTTAAATTTTTGGCAGCACACTGCTGAAAATGAAATAAAACATGAGCCTCTTTTTGCCTGTCATACTAAAACAAAGTGGACATGCTTATGTTAGTTAAAACGTCAAGTTTTAAACAACAAAGGAGAGCAGATATGCAGATGTTATCATAACTGAGTAATCAAGAAGTCACAATATATCAGAGCATAGCTGTGCATGTGCAAACATAGCCAAATCATTAATAAATTAGTTCAAAACAACATTAGACATTCTACTGTTAGCATTGTCCCATTACAATCAATTTATATCAAAATGCATAAAACTTGCCAAAATTAGCTCAGCGTGTAATTTACCCTGCATGAAAAGTAGGAAGTAATAAGATGACCTGCTAGGATCAGCACAAACTCAGTAAAAGCTAGAAAAATTAATCATACTAATGGTGATTAATCATTTATAAAGTAATCATTAACTAATCCAAAATTCAGACATTTTATGAATTTTTTCTTTGTGATTTTTTTTACAACATTGGAAGCTAGCACTGCACTGATTTCAAGTCATCCAGACAAGGCAGAGTTTTAACAATATTATATTAGAACTTCATTTTTTTTAGCAGCAGATGCATTCTACAAACAAAAGATGAGCTATAATATTGTGTTGTAATAAATAAAATATTATTCTTTTTAAAAAAGTGAACTGAATTATATGTGTACTTACATGTTTTTTATATATTTCATTGACTCGCAAAGTAAGTTGATGTGGTTAGAAATAAATTCAGAATGTAGTAATTTTCCATGTTGTTTTTCGATTATCGAACAGACCAATTAATTGAGTACTTGATTAATAAACTAAAAGTTAAGTGCATCTCTAATTAGCAAGTACTATCAAAACTAAGTGTAAACATGACAGTATAAGCATACATGGAATAGCAAAAAGTCATGTCAAAACAGAAAGCAGACATAATGCTTTAGGTATGACCTTTTTATCAAGAAGCCATATTAAAAAATTATTTAGAGCATGCTATTATAAATTTTTTTTTTTTTTTGGTGAAAGTTTCATTGCAAGAAGCAAAAAAATGACTCCTATAACTACAAGCTTTGTGAAAAAAGTCCAATATGTCTTTAGAAAAACTTAAGACTGTTCAACAATAAAAATCTTTGGAGGCATAGTAAAGTATCTACTGCTTTAAAGAAATAGAGATATTGCAGCATGCAGAAGCTAAGTCCGGGAATTTAAGGGAACATTATTCCATGCCATAATAATTAAGTAGTTATTATTCTGTATAAATATGGCATTACTGATTTATTAAACTAGGAATCTACTTGGAAATTTGTGTTCTAAAATTTAAGATTCGTTAACTGATATTTATAAAACTTTAATCAAGACATTTCTGCATCATGTATTAATAAAAAAAAAAAGTTGTATTGTTAGTATATAAAAGCCACGCAAAGAACATGAAAGGAAAAAGGAAAAATAATTGGAGCAAATTCAAAGTATAACTTATTATCAAAAAGATGATGCATTAAGAGGGGGGTAGTCACAATAATTTGCAGAGGGTGAGCAGCTTTATGATATAACCTTTTTGTAATAATTTCATGCTTTACATCAATATAAGTCATGCCTTAAGGTTTACAGCTGTATATTAAATATACCTTTATTATAAAGTGTTACCTGCTGTTTCTTACAACATCAGGTTACCACTTATTGCTAGATGGTATAAAAAGAGCTCACTCTTTTTCAATTTTTAAAAACAATAAATCAAAATAAATCAAGATGACACATTAAATGTAGGCAAACTCTAGACTTTAATGTCAATATTTTCACTGGCAGGAAGGCAAGGACTGAGACTGCCACTGCTGAGCTGGGGGAATTCATAGCAAACACATTACATGTCTGCGCCTGACTCTAATACTAAATCAAACTATGCAAGTCCTTAAACGACAGGTTTGGAGTAATGTTCTAGTGGATAAACGAAGGAGTGAACATTTTACCTGGATTGTAAGGTGGTGAGTCGGTCACAACAGCTGGCTAGAAAACAGACAAATATTACCCATGAAAAACAGTTGAGGCTACATTTTTTACCGTCGTATTAATTTCTTGCCTGCTCTTATTGGTGAAGTCTCTGCTAATTTATTGTGTCTGTTGTCTACCAAAATGTGGTTTAAATATGTTACATAATCCTTACAAGCCCAGCAGCGAGTACAGCTTACGCATATTGTCCTCAGAAAGAATAAAAAAAAACATTTCAAAACTATATGCCAGGAAGTTGACAGAGAGAAAAAAAAAACTCACCGGCATCAGAATTTCCACATCTGCAAAAAAAAAAAAAAAAGGAAGAAAGAAAGAAGGAAAGAAACAAAGAAATATGTATTAATTCTCAACTCTACTAAACAAGAAATTTCCAAAAAGTCTTTTTTTTCAAAAAATAAAAAGAGTAACAGCATATACAGTACCCAGTGAAAGCATGCATTCATTTAAAAATAAAAAAATCAGTTTTCAAGGAAATATTTTTTTTTCAATATTGTTATCATTTAGTCGTAGGGAAATGGTTGTTCTAATCGATGCATTTCCGAATTCTCCCAAGTGGTGCCCGACTTTACACGAGTGAATAAAGGGGGCGGGATTGTTGTGGCGGAAGGTTCACAGGCTTTTTGGTTGTGGTCGGTGTCTCGGAAGCATCTTGCTAAGCACTTAGCAACTCTGTGCTAGTAGGTTCTCAATGGGAAATTCCATTGGGATCAAGTAGCATTAAATTGGTGACTTAGAAACGACAAAGTCAAGGAACACTATGGACAGCGGAAACATGCAAGAGGAGGAGAGTTTTGTGTCGGAGGTCGTGGATGACTCTCCTCCGTCATACATTTTTTATTAAGAGGAGGAAAGTGAGGACGAGGACATTGTGGAAGAGGACGCCAGGGCGGCAGAAGCTTGGTTTGGTGTAGAAGGCTTATAGCCGTACATCTTTAAGCTCTTGCCTCGCAACGCTACCAGTTCTGTTAGCTCTACGCCTACCGAAGACACAGACGTCCATCCCCGTGAACACTGGAACGTAACTCTATGGTAAAGTAAATTATTATTATTTCTTATTTCAACCTTTGCGTATATTAGCTGCAACATTTGAATCAAGATGCAATGACCGAAAACATTTGATTGACAGATGACCGTTGATATGTGATTGGCCGAATTTAGGTGTACAAGCTGACGTATAATTAACTGGCCTGCAGAAGATAACAGAAAAAAACCCCACAGATTTTAAGAGACAATTTTTTTTTTAATAGAAATGTTCTAACTTTTGGGACAATATGGTCTGATAAAGAGTTCATTTATATACATGTTTAAGCCAGGATTAATTGACATTTGAATATGACTTCCCTACGACTTAAAGTGATGCACCAAAACGACAGAATAGCTAACGTTGAAGGAGAATTATGGTGTTGTTATGTATGATATGCATTTGCACTAACCATCTTTCCTCATATATATTGTATTACCAGTTGCCCTGATATATCTTAGTATTTATTAAATAGGGTCCATGTGGTTATAATTTAATCTGAGCATAAACAAGTTTTCCTGCGAAGACCCAAGAGGTTTGTGAGAGAATATTACTGAACAAACAGCATCAAGAGCACCGGCGAACACACCCAAGAGGTAAGCAATAAAGTTGTGAAGACATTAAAAGTAAGGCTAGTTTAAAGTACAGCTCATTATATGAAGATATAAAGAGTATATTCTAAAGTTGCAAAGCTACCAACACATTGCATAAACAATTGTGCAAGGAGAGCATTTATATTTGATTGTGCAAATAGACCCATGGTAACTTTGGGAGAGCTGCAGAGATCCAGAGCCTTGGGGTTAGGGTAGATCTCTTAACAGGATAATTATTAATTGGACACTGTGTACATCGGCCTGTATGGGGGAGTGGTGAGAAGAAATTCATAAGAAGTCATGGTTGGACATTTGGTTAAAGGTGCTCTAGTTTAGTGAAAGCAAAAACTTTTAATTGTTTGGACAATGTACAAATGTTTCACTATATGGGAAACATGACGATGGAAAAAATCTTGCTGTTTGGATATTTTTCCTCAGCAGGAGTAAGTTGGTCAGAGTTCATGGGAAGAATGATGGAAGTAAACACAGAATTTAGGCTGCAAAGGATCTAAGTCTGCAGATGAATTTCACCTGTCCTGCAGGAAAACAACTCGAAACACAGACTGAGATTCAACAGCATCAAAAGGTGGATCTACAAAGGGTTAACACAGAGGGGGCTGAATATAAATGCATGCTGCTTTATGTGCAGGACATCTTCAAAAACATGCAAAAACTTTTACTTCACATTTACACACCAGTTTATTTCGGTATATCTCTCATCCTCATCTTCTCCCAAAAGACAATAAAGTTTGTGTTTGTAATGTGAAAACAATGAAAAAAAGTTTTAATTTGAAAAGGTTTTATTTAAGCCCAACTTCAGAAAACGGATGCTTAAGAAATGAAAACACAAACATGGATGTGAAAATCCTTGATATGAAGACAAAAATCTCAAAATATTTATAGAGCTGTGTGGTCAAATAATAAAAAAAACAACTGATGCTGCCAATAAAACTATGTCTCCAGCTTTAAGTTAGGAAAATATATTCATATAAAAGAGATGTTCTGTCTATGATATTTGCGAGGTGCAGAGAAGCCCATCAGGGTTTCATTTTATTGGTTAGGAAAGAATGTAAACAACTTTGAAAACTGTTTGTGGTTGTATAAAAATGTACTTGGGGGTATCAAAACATCCGATTGATTTTTGGCTTATTGGGAGAAAAGTAAAAAGTTACCTGATGGTAGTCGATGTGGTTGTCGACCTGATTCTGCAGGATACTGTGGTGTCTCGGGGTACTGAGGTATTCGAGGTGTCTCGGGGTACTGAGGTATTCGAGGTGTCTCGGGGTACTGAGGTATTTGAGGATTCTCTGGGTACTGGGGTATTTGGGGTGATTGGGGATAGTTGTTGTGTCGTGAGGGCTGAGAGGATGGGAACTCAGAATACCCGTCCTCTAGAGTCACTCCTGTTCTCTTGAGCTCGACATCTTCCAGCTGCCTGAGAGAAATCTGCACATCTGAGCGTGAGTATGTGTATCCATGACCAGCTGGGCAAATCTCCTTGAAGTGGTCTGCAGGAAAGGAAGCACAAGAGCAAACAATAAGTGATAAAAACCATCATATTTGCAGTAAGAGCTAGCAATAATCAGATTCAGTCTGCCATCTGCGAAACAATGTCAACAAAGCTGTCTTCCACATTTATATGTATAACATATCAACCCCTTATGTGATCAAATAGCAAATTTACTGCAGTACTTCTAATGTTTTCAGGCAATTTCATTTCTCTACATTTAATACTTAAGGATCCAGACTTTTTATAATCTCTAACAGTTGCCTCAATCAACGATTTCCTGACTGTATGCCAACTTTTCAATTCACAAGTCTTTGCTTATTACTAGGTGATCTTAGGCTAGGTTCACTCTGCAGGTCTTAATGCTTAATTCCGATTTTTGTAGCCTTAGTTGACATTATGCCAGAGTTTTTTATAAATCTTTTGGAGATTTTTCTTTTAATTTAATATTCGTTTTGTAATGTTTGTATGTAATTACTTGAGCCAATGTGCCGTGCTTTAATCTAAATTTCTTCATTGTAGCTCTGTAGTATGACCAGGTTTGCCTGCTTGGAGGTGAATCTTTGCATTAGTCTGAGTGTTTCTTTACCTCTAGGTTATGGGAGATTTGAGAAAGATTGTGGTAAAATCTGCATTTTAAGACATACACATAACAATGTTTCTGAAGCTAGTAGTGTATCATATAACAGTTATTGACGCATGAACAGAGCAGGTTTAGAGGTGGGAGAGTAAGTGGCTAATGGGGGATTTGGCGAGCAAGATTAAAGACAGCAGACTGCACCTCTTTGTTTCTGAGCCCAAAATGCTCCAGCAATGGTGAATCCATTAGAAGAGAGAAAACCTGTGTCCCCTACCTGACCTACACTGGTAACTGCGCCAGAGGGATAGAATCTGGAATAGAAATATGAGCAATGACAGATATGTGGTCCATGTAAATACAGGAAATGTGGATATGATAGGCTAGTGGCTGATGATGTTAAAGTGGAGGGAAATGAGTGTATAAGTGATGAGGATCCACATCTGAAGTGTAGAGTAAACTTAAAAGATCTCCTTTTACTACGTAGGTCCAGTGCTTTGCTCTGAGCATGGCTTTAACATCTTGTCCAGCCATGCAGACGCATCACCTACAATCATCCAGCAACTATATACAGCACGGAGGTCTTTGAGTAGGATCTCATCTAGAAAAATCCCCAGAAATCACTTGGCAGCATAGAGGCTTCATAAAACCAATTCAGTTTCTCTCAGAGACTTTGAAGATTAGATCTGAAAGAAGGAGAAGATGACAACTACTTGCCATGTTTCACTTGGCAGTCAGTGAATTTTCTGCTGTGCATCTTTGCTTTCCGAACATTAGCAGGGTTTCTCTCTAAGGGCTGGAGCGATAACACATGGCTGACTTTCACCATTATGCAGCCTCCAAAATATGAAAACTGTTATGTATTTGGTCCTTTTCCACTCTAAACACATCTAGTTATTTTGAAATACTTTGCATGCCTGGCAGACAGGAGAATGGTGACTGAGAGATAAATATTATTTGCTTGTGCTCTACTGACCATTGCTCTCTATCTGATAGTATTACATGTAAAGTTTCATATCTGCAAAAACATTAAAACCTGCAAAATGTTTCTTGGCTGGGAGAGTAAAAAAAAAGAGAAAAAAAAGAAGAGGCATATTTTTTAGACAGCACAAAGACATGCAACAGAATTTTAAAGAAAACATCACCTGAACCAGGCAAAGGACACCGCTCACATCCATCCCCCCAGGCCTTGCCAACACGGCTGCAGCAGCATATCTGCTTGGTTATGTGATTAACAAGAGGTAGAGAGCAGATACCAGATGAGACCGATCGGTAGCATGAGGCCCTGCGGTCAGACACTGCCTTGTCAGCTGAAGGGAAGTCAGAAGATCTATTATATTCTCATAATTGACATTTTTTGGGGGGCATTTTAAATCAAGGATGAAATCAAGTATTACTCACAGACGCAGTGGCTCCTGGCGGCATCTAACATAAAACCTGGTTTACATGTGCACCTGTAGCTTCCTCTGGTGTTGAGACATTCAGCATTCTTACATATCCCTGGTAACAGGCACTCATTGATGTCTGCAAAAAAGCAAAAAAACACATTTCGTCAGACGTCAAACAGAGAGAACCTTCTAATTCTGGAAAAACCATGAAGTCATTTCTGAACTTGAGCTGAACTTCCTGAATAAACTTTATACATCAAATCTAGTGCAATGTACTTCTCGGGAAGTACACAAAGCTTTCGTGCATGCATGTCGGCAGACATGATGAAAGTCAAGGAAATGCACTCATTGTGCAGGCATTAAAACATTTGCAATAGATCTTGAGGCTGTTGAGAGCTGACGAAACTTGGAAACATCAAGGTTGTAAAGTTGTTTAAAACCAACAAGATGAGATGATGAGGGAGAAACATGCATGATAAATTTATATTTTTTCTTACCCTGTTAAACATATTTGAGTTTTCATTAAAACCCAAAGACCATCCCTAAATGTGTGAAAACATGTCTTTCTTAAAGGCTCAAACCAAGGGTTTATTTCTGTGCATTGATAATGAACAAGGATACAAAGATAATGTAAAAAAAATTCAAACGTATAAAAAACAGTGCCTGATAACAGCACAACAGGATAATTAACATTAGGCAGCTATGGTTGAGACAACCAGCTAGTTTTACAATAGTGGGATGAAAAGAGAAAAGTTGGTTTTCCATCTTTTTTTTCTCCACACTTGTTTAGACAGCTAGAGGTAACACAACCTTCTTTAATGACCATGGTATCACAGTTGATAAGCCAGGGAACAGGCTTTCAGGAAGGAGTACAACGTTCAATCTTAGAAATAGCAAAACGGACTGTGAGGTAATATGGTATAAATGGTAAACTTTTCCCACTGCAGATACACAATTTTAAATATCTCTCCTTTAGGGTGACTAATAATCAATCAGCACCTGCAGTGATCAGTCTGTCAAGCCTCCAAAGTTCCCTGATGACACCACTCACATCGGACTTATCTCTGATGGTGACTAATCCTCCTACAGGTGGGAGGTTAACCATCTGGTGACCTGGTGCAGGGAGAACAACTTGGAGCTCAACGCTCTAAAAACCGTGGAGTTGGTTGTGGACTTCAGGAAGAACTCCCAATTGACACTGTGGAGTCATTTCAGCTTCCTGGAAACTATCATCTCACAGGACCTAAAGTCGGGGCTGAACAGACCCCACTTCCTCACCGCCTAAGCCGTATCTAGACCCACAGCATATAGCGCAGATCACGCTAAAAATTGAGCATAAATCTAAAATGTCTGCGTCAATCTCAGTGCGACACACTGCTGCGGGGAGTATAACCTGCCCTTAAGGCGTGCAGGGAAGATTGTGGCTGATCCCTTGCACCCAAGCCACAAACTATTTCAGACACGTCCCTCTGGTAGGAGGCTGCAGTCCATCAGGACCAAAACCTCACACCACAAGAACAGTTTCTTCCCATCCGCTACCAGTCTTAATAACAAGACCCAGGGACCCCCCGTGGGACTCACACTGCCTCTCTCTCTCCCCCGTTCAGGACCTACAAGCTACACCAATGTAGAATCTCCAGACCTTCTGCATTACATTAACACACAGTCTACTGTGTATATAGTATATATCTATATACTATATATTGTATGTTTTATATTGAATATAGCTATAGATTCTGTACTTTGTCTGTGCCATCAACACCAAGTGAAATTCCTTGTAAGTAAAAACCCACTTGGCAATATATTTGATTCTGAATCAGATTCCTGATCTCTAGTTTTATAGGATTAAGTTAAAATTAAAGGAGGGGTTCATCTATTCTGGAGTCAGTAAACCAAACATAAATCCTGTTAGTGTGTAAGGCAGGAGAACAGGGGACATATTTAAGGTGCTTAGTCATGCAATCCCACTGGGACCAGGCAAAGTTTGTTGTTCTGCCGTGTTAAACAAAGACTATATCATTAGGTCTTTTCCCATTGCTTTGATGACTGGAACCCGATAGCCCGCCACCACAGATTTTCCCCAATTCTAATTAATCTGCTCTTGTTTGCTTGTTTTGCTTCCTGCTGGAAAAAGTGAGCTTATAAGGGATTTGAAGCTGATAAATTCTGAGGAATGAGCAAATCCAAAGGTCACAATGCTCCTTTTGTTTCTTATGGTTTCTTCTTTTCTATGTCTGCTTCCTTTTTACATTTTGTATCTCTTCAACGAAGCCCAAGCTTTGAACTTAAGCCTGAGCCATTTTTTTGTTTTATCACAGTGTAAACACACATGCCTGTATTGACATAAGCTATTAATTTGACTGAGCCCAAGATTGAGCACATGCTATGAAGACAATCAGGTGGACCCCTGATGGAACTCCCTACATCTACAGACTTCTGGTCCGTGTTGTGAGAAAAGGTGCTGGAGTGACTTTAAGTTTAAGAAGCATCTGATCAGTGTACAGGTCAGAATTCGTCACATGGGGTCTTTAATGCGCCATTCGGCCTGGTCCCAGATTAGCGTTATTGTTACAGTCTACTGCTGAGATGATTAAGATTGAAACTGACTTTCATGACAACCTGTCATGACCAGCACTAATCTCAAGATCTGTTTTGAGTTCACGCTTGGTTGCTCGTGCTGGGTGTAGGTAGCCTTTAACATGATTGTTTTTACAGTCTAATTGCAAGGAAAAAGGCACGTTCACCAAGTGTCAAACAGTTTCTCTGACCTTACCTCATCTTGCCTTTTCTTGACTTGAAAAGTAAAGTGCATGTAGTTACTTGTGAAATTGTTCATGAAGTGTCAAAAAAAAAAAAATCAACGAAATCCAGCCTCTTTTTCCAGTATGCATCAGCTGTAATCAGGGTTCCTAAACTTAGTTCAGAGATTACTTTCTTTAGACTTTTCTAGGTTGCATTTGCCAGAGTTCTCAGGTTAATAGCCCAAGAGTCTATTTCAAATGTGACTGAAAAGGTCCATTACAACATTATGCAAAATATGTCTGGAGAAGCTTTAAATACCTTGATCCTGCACAGAGTCAAAGTAAGGCAGAACAAAAAGAAAGGAGTAAAAGAAGAGCTGTAAAACACAAAGAAAGAAGAAAGGAGGGAGATCATGTAGAAACGGTTGAAAAAATGAAGAATTTACGCAATAAATGTATTAATCATTGAAGGCAAAATAGGAAGGTGAAAAGGAAGTAAAGATAGATGTACATAGGGATGGAAAGGTGGATAGAAAAAAGGGCTATAACACATAAGGAAGGGAATGGCAGAAGGAAGCCAGAAAGGAGGAAGAAAAGAAAAGAAAGAAAGAACTGCCAGGCTTCAAATGAAAAAAAGAAAGAAAGAAAAATACAAAGGACTAAAGGGGGATAATAGAAAGCAAGGAGGGGCAATTAGTTAGGAAATAACTATTTTAAATCCAAATATTTTCTGTACTCATTTTTGTTATTTTCATTCAGAAATTCCAAACGTGGAAATCAAATGTCGTACTTTTTTGTGCTTCACACTGCATAGGTCCCTTATGTAACAGAGAAAGTTGGCTTCATTCAGACTTCAAAGCTTCAAACTAGACCAAACAACATGGTCTAAAAATGGAATCTATTTAAGGATGTCAACAGTGGTTTACAAACACACATTGTTAAGAAGCATAACAGGCAAATTAATATTGATCCGTCAGGGAGTAGTTAGGATGATGAATGTCAAATGTGAGTGTTTTAAATTTGCTGTTAGATTTTATTTAGATAATTCAAGATGTCAAAAGAATTATGCAAGACTCCCATCAACTATTCTTTGAAGTGGTATATGAGTAACACGACCTTCTACCAGTGCAAGTTTACCACCCACAACAGAGCTTGCTCATGCATTTCTGTTGGCCTTTCATCTAACAAGCACAGCTACACATGGACCATTCAGCTAGATGAGTTTCTCCAAAGCAGCATCTAAAGATAAGGAATAATTCAGAGCACTCACTGAGTCCTTGAAGGGAGTCTTTCACACTCTGGGGAGGATATCAATAACTGCATTATTTACATAAATACAGTTCTTTAAAAAAGTTTTTATATCCCAGCTGCTCCTCAAGATTTTTTTAAGCTACAACCAGAAGTTGAAATATTTTTATTGGGCTTTTATTTAACACACGCATAACAGGGGAGTCACAATGGTGTTAATTAAATCCAATCATAATGTATTGCATTAACATATGCTGAAAAACACATTGAATATATTACTAAAATGGTTAAAAATAGCTGTTGTGAAGTGCTCTGGAATAATAAACTCCATGATTGCTTTTTCCTCTCTGTTCTGAGTCCCTTTAGGAACACCCTCCCTGGGGACAATGTAAGTCGAATCTTTTAGCGTGTTTGGCCATTCAGCATCGAGCAGCTAATTTCATGACCCGCCTTTGCCCCGCCCCTGCTCCAAATCTGTCACTTCCTCAGTGGAATTGACAGATTTTTTTTTATGTTACCTATTTCTCACTGGTTGCTTCAATGCACAGAGGCTCAAACCTCAAAAGGGATTTCATATATACTGTAGAGACTAACAGGGCGCTTCCTGCTCCTCCAAAGTGGCTCAACAGCTGAATAATGCGCAACACACTCATGAAATCAAACGCATTATAGTGCAAATTTCATTCAATTTATTGACTATATTTAAGAAATTTTAACCAATTACTTTATGAAATTGACAGGTGGAGATTTAGCCTCCCTAGTAATCAATGAGAAATTCAATCAACTGTTTAAATAGTTTAATAGAAAATCACTTCAAAGGTAGTTAGGGAACAATAGTGGAAAAAATCTGGAAGAAGTTACACCTAATGTATGTTACCTTTAACAAACCATCCCCATTGCGATACATGGCCATGGAAGCATCATGCTGAGGGCATCCTTTTCTGCATCAGAAACAGTGAAGCTTGCTCAAGTTTTTTGTGCTCAGTCTTCTCAGACTTTTCGTTTGTGGCAGATGGCTGCTCCAACTCAGCCAGGTTTTCTTAAATGCTATTTTCCTGTCTCTTGCCTCTAAGTAATGCCCAATGTGAGGGACTTCTTTGTAGTTAATGCAATAGATTTTTTGTTTGCTGTTTGTACGTCCAGCAGGAGTCATTTCTACAAGTCAGTGACTTAATAATTAAGTTAACTGGACAACAGATAGAGGTAAATACAGTAAAATATCAGAAGATACAAAAGCGTTAGGATTAAGTTGCAGTTTCACCCCCAGCAAGAAACAAACCCTCAAGATAAAGCCAGAGCAATACATTTAGATGGAAGCATATCTAGTCAAAGTCTAGACCTAGATTATGGCCCCGTCCACACGAAAACAAAACGAACACGAAACGCTAATATTTTCCAGAACGTTTGTCGTAAAGACGGAGACGTAAATAAAGTGATCGTCCACACGAATGCATGAAAACGCTGCAAAATGTATGCCAGGCCTGTAAGTGGCGCTGTGGTGCCAAAGCAAAAATAGGCGACGAAATGTTGGGCATGTGCACTAATATTTATACATGGTTGCCCTGCGGGTCCATTTTCGTGGTTCAGTCAAATTCAGGTGCTGAACTATGTCGTCGATATTGCTCTGTTCTTCCTGGAGATATTCCAGAAGAAGAAGATTCTGCTGTAAGCCCGACAGCAGGGTGAGTAGCATGAGCAGCAACCATTCATCACAGTACGGCGCCATTGTTGTTGTGATACTGTGTCGCGCATGCGTGTTTAGAGGCGACGCTATGACGCATGCGTGTAAAAGAAAAAATGCGGTTAGAGCTTAAAGATGGAAACGCGAAAACGGCGTTTCAAAATCTTCCCACTCTGAAGGCTGAATAAAAAAAAAGATCGTTTACAGACCCCCGAAACGCCGGCTTCGTATGGATGAGAGGCTGGTTTGGTGAAAAATTTGTGCGTTTAGGCCAGGGTTTGACTTCGTGTGGACGGGGCATATATAAAGGAAGATCTGCTGCTGTTCATAGATCAATATCTAGTTATTTTCCAGATAAAACTATTGGATAATTCTAGTCTCTAGGTGGGCAAAGCAAGTTAAACCACAACCCAAAAAACTGAACCTGCATTTGCAGCAAAAAGTGGTGAATGAAAAAGAAAACTCCAATATAGGTTACAAGTTTGTGGTTAAAACGAGAAAAAAAGTGAAAAAAGCTTAAGATGCATGAATACGTTTACAAGCCTTTTAACAGCAGTAGATGAGATCTATTATGAGACAAGCATTGCTCTGTTCCAATAAAAAACACAACAAGCAGCTGAAAATAGAAGCCACACTTGGGCACGCTGGACGCCGTTCTGAAAGTAATGAAAAACTCCCACAAGAAGCACATTTTTTGTCCTTCTGGCTGCTGGAGAGAGATGTGAAACTAGGACTCAATGGAACAGCAACAGCTACACAGTATGCAGACTTTAAAGCAGTGCAGTAAATATTATGGGCAACTGCCATTTATGGGTTGTTTCTAACAGAATGAATGAGTGACTGGAAAGGGAGAAAGCTTGAAACAATCATAAAAGAAAATTTTAGAAAATGTATTGGCTAGAGATTGTTTTACTGGAAAATAAAAGTGTACTTCTATAATGAAGCCTTTGCTATGTGGGATAATTTTCATATGCTCAGCATATCAAAGAAAACACCACAAAATCTGTGCAGATCAGGAAGTATGTTGAACCTACTGAACCAGATGGTGAGATCTGTCATGGAGGTGTCCAAATCTGCCCACTGAACCATTATGTTATTATACTCCATAGGCTTCAGTAAGCACTGCCTCTTGGATTATGACACTGTTAATCAAGTCAATGGCAAGACTCTAAGCAGACTGTTTTTTGTTATTTCAAGTATCAACATCACTCTTGTCAGCCTTGAACCTAGATTAAAAATCTGCATTCTTTTCCTTGATTTGCAGTCAATGCTTATTTACTAAAGCCATGAACCAAGAGGAATGCACTGAATACTGTAAAATGAGACACACTACAGAGCAGACATCGTGTTTTTGCTTGTTAGATCATAAACCCTGATAATAATTTGATGTCATGCTGCTGTGAGATAGAACTATCTGCGTGTGATGTTTGAAGCTTTTTGGAAAGAAGGATGGCTTTGCTGGTTTTCTAGTGTTGGAATATCTACAAGCCGTAGATCAACTAAATGCAGGAAACACTAAAAGGATCACAAATACTCTCCCTTCGTTGCATGTCGATTGAAACAAAGATCAGATTAGATAAGAACTCTGATCTAATGTTGTTATTGTCCTGCTACAAATAGGCAGTGGATTAAAAGAATAACCTTTTAATTGTTTGACTTACCTTGACAGTGGGTGACATTCATCCTTTTAAACCCTTGGGGACATTCAACTTGACCATTCGCAATTACTGCATATGCTGCAAACAAGAAAAAAAGAAATTACTTAACAGTAAAAACAAAGAGAAAAATAAAAAAAAGTAGAAAAAATGCTTCAGAAAATGAGCTCACAACCAGCATTTCAGAAATTTTCACATCCTTTTATTTTGACTAAATGATTCTATGTCTTCACTAAATAAAACGCATTGAAATAATGTAATAGATCTTATGGGATGGAACAACAAAAAGTGTTACATTATTATAAGATAGAAAAAGAAAGGGATAAAGGATAATAAAGATTTCTTTTTCCAAATGTTTTATTCCCTTTGAATCTACTATTAGTGAATAAAAAAGTGCAACACTTGAATTAAGTAATGGTGAATCCCAGTAAAGCACAAATACCACTAGTCTACAGCCTCTTTAGCTCAGTATGGCAAAAATGTTAAAAAAAATTTACGTTTTTGGACATCAATGTAGCTACATTTATTTGATTACCCTGATTCAGGGCTGAAACAATTAATTGGATTAATCGCTTATAGAAATAATCCTCAACTAGTTTAGCAATCAATTATTCTGTAACTGGAGTATAGAGACCGTAAAATGTGCCTTTAGCTGATATTTTGGCCCACTTAAAGCAGTTATTATACCAAACAAAATAATAAATAAAAAATATATAAATATTTTGCATTTAAGATAAAAAAAGAAAAAAGAAAACTGACAATATGCTGTATCAAGAACTCATAAAGTGGAAAAGTTGAGTTTAATGATGTAAAGACTTCTTTAAGGAACCTTTGGCTATCCAATTATTAATCGATTAATACAGTAGGAAAAATGATTGACAGATTAATCGATTTGCAAAATAATCATTAGTTGCAGCCTTAGCCTGATTGAATAGGTATAAATGTCATGGTTGGGGAGGTGTGGCAGGGGGGCCCATATCCAATTATCCTGTCCCAGGCCAGACCAAGGCTGTAAGCTGACCTGGGTTTAAGCACACTTACAAGGCAAAGCCTGAAAGAAAGAAAAATTAGAGGTAACCGAAGCAGGCCCTTGAGAGACTCCTTGGGGAACTATATAAAAAAAATTATTCTCATTTGAATAAGCATATTTTTGCTATTGCCAGAGCAGAACAGATCAAATGGTGTGTGTCTTGCAGATTTGTGCCTGTATTTGCCTCGATGCAGTCGAACGGTCGATGTCAAAGACCTGAATACATGCAGTCATGGCTGGCATGACAAGCAGTCATGCCTCAAAAAAAGAATTTATTTAAATAATAGAAAGGTTGGTGTAACTGTTACATGGTCAAAACATAATCTGTTCTGCAGCAGGAGTGTGTATGTGTCTGCAAGTTTGACTAGGACGGAGACATGGAGGTGTAAGTGTGCAGTTTTTTGCCTGTGCAGAAACAGAATAGCAGTCGTAGCTGAACCTTTTGTCGTATACACAACGGGTTTTTCAGCATTTTATGATGAAAGATCCACCCCATGATTTCTACGAGCAGAATGTGCACATGCATGAAGAGAGATTAAAAGAAGGATGACATATTGTTGGTATGACAGGACATTTTATTTTTACAGTATTGTCGGTTCATATAACAGTCACAAAATTAGAGGGCTTAAGGATAGTCAGATTGTCTTACAGTATCATTTACCTGGGATGAATACTTCCTATGTAAAAACAAGTTCAAAGATCAGCAAATTAAGTTGAAACCATTAAAAAAAAAAACTTTTCCAGCAGGACAATGATATATAACACAAAACTAAAACCAAAATTTACTGATTTAGTAGAGTGTATTTTCATATATTAAAAAAGCAAAGTCAAAGTTAAGATGAGATATAATTTTAAATTTGTGGCAGGACTTGAAAAGAGATATTCATAGACTCTCAACACACTACAGTTTCCTAGAATTCTGTTTCTGGAAAGTCTGGAAAAAAATGTATAGAACTTTCTGGCTTAGATTATTTTACTACACCAATCTAAATAAATACACAATATCTGGAAAGCAAGCCAAAATATTTTTTGATTTCCACATTGTGAATGTCAAAAAATAGATATATATCTATAATCCAGACTTGTATACTGCCAACTGTATGTTTGCCTTTCAGTCTCTTTTTTTTCTGCCTGCAACATGCGGTTTTATGTTGGACATGTCATGTGGTTTTCTTATTGAAGGGCTTTTCTCCCTCACATTCCTGCCTTCCTGAAAGCCCACCCTTATGATACACCACACCCACCCATGACAGACTGGACCTAGCAATACATTGCTTTGAATCTGCAGCCAGGGCAACGAATTTGTGAAAATAAATGTGACGCATGCCATTTACTAAAGGATCTTTGCTTTACCAGCAAAAACTATGCAAACCTTCCCCTGTGGACTGTTTCATGAGACAGTGTTTGTGAATGAAAGGTGGATTCGAATGATGTAAAGGGCCATCTGGATCCCTAACAGGTCCGGACACGATGACACCTGTTCTTTCACTATGTCACAATTAAGCAACACTGTTTACAGCAAACAGTCTGTGCTTGTTGAGCAAAATAACAACCTGCAAACGATTGTGTTTAATTTTGGCTCAGGTAACTGGAATGTCTGGTACATGAAAAGTTTTTTTTTGGGACTAGGGTCCTGGAAGTTGTATTATGGTCCCGCTGTTACCCAGTCGACCAAGCAGGCTCAGTGTACCTGAGGAATGACGGAGCAGAAGTGGGTCAGGATGAAGGAGGCAGTCTCAGAGGTGGGGGCAGATGTGTCAAAGTAATGCATCTCGTCCTGTACGTCCATCCCCTCATCTTCCCCAACACCCTCATAATCCTACTCAGAGGATTCAGAGTAATTAGTTGTTGTGTTGGAGCGATGGGCATGTCTTCCTGCAGCGACGGCATCAGGAAAACTCAGACCTGAGTGACAGAAAGTTGCATGTGCCAAGGGAAGCCCAGTAGGGGAGACCGCGGTGTCTCAAAAAAGCTTATTAGCTGGCAGAAAAAGACCTCTGTAGTCAGTGAGAACTTAAATGTTTTAAAAGAAACAAGTAGTAAAAAAAAAAAATACAAACGCCTTATGTTTCCTGAGAATTATTTCCCATATATCGCTTGGCTGACAGAGCTCACCATTTCCTGATGTGTGCCCTAAAAGTGGCTGTTACTGGAGTCCAGTTGGGTTGATATTTATTGTTCCCTGGGGGCAATTTGTTTGTAAAGTGTCAAAAACCAGCTGCTGAACTTCAGCACACAGATGCTTTCAATGACCGGACTTCAAACTGGCTCCCTTTATTGTTTTCAAACAACATGGGTCCTTTTTTTCTTGCAGAAACAGGTACTTGAAAGCAAATATTCTAAAACATTTAAAATAAAGTATTTAAAAAGTAGTGGCCTCAAATTATGCCATTCTGACATACTTGAACTTTGCCTTCCTAGGTTAGCTCTGTTGCTATAAAAAAGAAGACAAATATCTTCCATTGAACCTGCATGAATTGCTTAATCTTTTTCTATCAGGAAGTCCTCATTTTAACATGTAGAGACGGACAGAAAGGACCCATGCAGATGAAACAGTGAAAAGATTATGCCTAAAATTAAACTGCCATATATTAAACTGCCAAGTTTCTGACATCTCCAGGAGTAAACAGAATCGAAGGAAATAGGAAAAATTATATCCAAAAAGTAACAGTTGCATGGACCAAATGCCTTGTTGATATCAGTGGTCAGAGCTGAAATGATTACGGTGAAATGATTACTTTTACAGCCTAGGCAAGTAGAATTGCATGAAGAATGTGTCCAATGTTAAATAAAACAAAGTAACAGACTAAGGAACGTAGGTTCCCCAAATTTGAACAATATTAATTTGCAAATAGATCTAATGCAGCATTCAGGTGTTATGGTCCAAATATGGTATAAATGACATTAAAGTATTTTCCTGTCCTGCTTTGCATCCATAGTTTATGCTGGTCATGGTGGTATAATAGTGTGGAGGATATTTTCTTTTTGTGTAATATTTGGGTCTTTATGTATCAACTGAGCATTTTTTTAAAGTCATATTCTACTATAGCAGTGCTGCAGCAAGTGTCCATCTCCTAATGAACACAGTGTAATCCATCATCCGAGGGCTGCTTCCAGGGTAACACAAAATGTCCAGAAGCTGAAATAATTTCTGACTGGCTTCTTAAACATGAGAATAAATTCTGTATGCTCACATGGCCTCAACCATAAACCGATCTTAAAAATGTCTGAATTAACAGAGCTCCATATGAATGTGGTGATGATGAGGAGATTTGCGTCAGCTGTATAAAATCTGCAACACCTTTATGATGCTATCATGTCAATGAGGACTCAAATCATAGAATACTTTTTTATAATGAATCGTTATATTACATCTCTACTTTAAAGAGTTAAATGTCTTACATCATACTTTGTTTTAGCCATCCAAAGGTACCTAGAGGCAAAAGAAAATTAAAATGATAAAGCAATGCCTTAACTGTAGAACTAATTGGATATCAACCTCAAAGACAGCAGTTGCCTTCAAAGCGAAGCTGTCTCTCCTAGTCTGGATGCCACCCATTTTATGATGTCACTGTATCACACCACTTCTGAAGGCTGAACCGTCTGAGACCTCTTAAAGGCCAAAAAAAAAAAAAAAAGGTTTTCAAAATTTAGACATGAGCTAAAATGTCTCCTAAAAGAGCCAATGCAGATCAGGGAGGGGATAGTTTATAGACAACAGAAGTATTTATCAGAGATGCATTAATTAAATAGCTATTGCTATTAGTTAAAAGCTAAAACAACTTGGATGACATAGGTCCCTTAACGCTGTTCCCAAAGGAAGAGAAGGTTTGGTAAGAAGTTGCCTGGTGTCATGATGGACTCAGACCAGAACCTTCAGAGGCACATCAAGGCAATTACTAAGTCATTGATTTATCAGCTGAAGAACATATCCAGGATAAATGAACTAATGTCCAATCGGTGTCTAGAAACACTCATTCATGCATTTATCTTAAGTAGAACTGATTACTGAATCAGTGTCTTTATAGGTCTGCTTAAACAGTCCATCAGA